CTTCCTTGTTGCAAGACGCATTGAAAAAAGGGCTGATGAGAGGTACATGACTTTCAAACTCATTTTTCAGTTGCAGATTTTATGGGCAGACTTCTGTAACCACACACACACACACACACACACACACAGCAGGTTCCTCTGTCAGCTTACGAGTTGTTAGCTGTTGAGGTGGAGCAAATGAGGAAACCACTTCCTGTCCTTCTAGAGAGTTGCTGTAGTGATGAAGCTACATTGTTTGTTTTTGTCTAAGCCAGTTAGTGATAACCATATTGCTACATGTAGTGGCAGCTCTGTGTAGTTTGTGTTGAGCATGTGATCTTTTAACTTCCTCAAGCAATAAACACAGAGCTACATGTTACCTCGTTCATCAGGCAAGCACACAGTCTGTCAGTAAATGGACAGATTGCACGTCACACACCACAACACGACTGGCTTCTTTGGTCAGCATGATTTATTTACTGTAACAACTACTATCTGCAACACGCAGGTGAAGGCTATACATGCAATACTGTCGTACAGTGTACTGTACATACTAAAAGCAAGTTAAGGGAAGATACACTGATGAAATTAGTTCAAGAGGTTACAACATAATGATTAAGCAGAAAAATGTACCAGCAGTCTTTGTTTAGGCATTATAGAAAAAATGAATCAGAATGAAGGCTAAAAGTAATTCCGTTACCGCAACGAGTGATAGATTATAGTACTTGGTCATTCAACAGATATGTCACCTTTTTCTTTCAGTTGATTTTGCATTTATTTAATGACATTATCATTTTTGTGTACTAGCTTCTTCAGAGCTTTCAACAACATCTCCTGGTCAGCAAATGGAATTGGCTGGACTATGAGATGGGGTTGAAAGCTCCCAAAAAGCTGGTGGACCTTGAGTTGAGGCAATTTTGTCCCATAAATAATAATAATATTGGCAATAAATAAACAGGAAAGCAGTCAGGAGTAAATTCAGTGAGCAACTGCAATGTTTAAGCTATGGCCAGCGTTTTTGTGAAAAAAATGATTTAATGTTCTCACAGAATGTGAAGGATTATTACTTCTTTTTTTAGTCAAATTAATAAACAAAATAAAATGTCATGAAAGGAAATATTCTTACTATCTTCCTGTTTTCCTTATAAAACCATCTTGGTTACATTAACAGTTATGTTTAGGCAAGCAGGCGCTTTTCTTTTTGTCAGAAGAAAGTGAAAAAGGATTAGATGTCGCTGTCGTTAGAGTTAGGATGTAAATAAAACAAGTTTCAAGCACTTATAGTTGCTAGGTTAGCTATTGCTTGGTAGACCGCAAAGATAGGTAGGCTAAGATGCTACACAGTGCTGAGTACTATTTTCCTGACATTGGCCGGGAGCTCGTTGTCCCTCACCTCAGGACCGCATCCCCTGTCGTCAAACTGTCCTTCAGCCTCGGAGGCTGTGTTTGGTCCTGGTCTGGCCATGTTCACTGTGAGGCTGCTATGCTAAGCCCGGTTCCGTTGCCCGCTCACCCGGCTCAGGTTCTTCAGTTAGCAGCAGTTAGCAGTTACTCTGGTCTTGCTGCCCCTTAAGTTTCAAATCACACACCATTTAGTGTTTCTCCCTCAGGTCAAGGTCCTCCCAACAAGTCAACCCATTATTATGAGATACTAGGTTGAAGCACAGGATGTGATGTTTAACTACAGCGAGCTGTAAAACCATTAACCTTTTGATATTCCACAAGCTTAGGGAATGTTTACAGTGGCTGCCTGTTGCCTTTTGTACCACCACACGAAACCTAGGCTAATGCTGCACTCGCAATGTGGCTGTTTGTGGCAGATCGCAACCACATGTTATTTCTGTGTCGGTACAAAGTGTCATCCACTGAGCACTGAGAATTAGCATTTTCTCATTCCTTTGTGCTAAATCCCCGCCAGGCTGCAGGTGCTACTCTGTAGTTGTCCTTTAACCTCCCTCCCAATTGCTCTGCAGATTTACAGATAAATATTTGACTTAAAATAAACAATTAAATATGCTAATGTTAATTATATACATAGTTTTCATTTTCTTCAAAATGAGTTTGACAAACAAACATAATAAAAAAGGTTGCAAGCTGCATTTTCATGACATCACGGAACTGCTGCTCTGGTAGGACTGGGCAATAAAACAATAATGATAATTATCGTGACATAAGTTTCCTCAATAACAACATAAAAAATGTTCAATAGGTGTTTGATTTAATTCATTTGAATCACGAATGAATTAGCACTTAATTTTTCTGTATTTATTTTGTTGAAGAAAATGGACTGAGGAATTTTACTTACTGTAATTTTAATCTTGCATATTTGTTGAAAAAAGATTTGTCATGTTCTCACCATAAAGAATAGTTTAACCACATTTAACCATCTGGTTTCTTCAACTTTCACTCTGTGTGTGCGCGCTGTGTCTCACTGCCACAAGATCTTCTTCATATTGCATAAAGATTGACTGTTACTGGCAGAGAGACATGGTAGCAATCTGTCTCCTGTGCACACAGGCAGATTCTCTCCTCCCCTGTGGTGCAGTAAATGGATTATATGGAGCATGTTCACCTTACAGGTGCCATGCTGTATCTGTGATGGTATGCCTTAAACAAAGTGTTTGTCAGATCCTCTAATGTCTGAACTCCCCTCCATTCTGGAATGGGGGGAAGGACTGGCTCACTTGCTACTAGAGCTTGATATCTCCGTACTTGTTTAGCAGTGACTACAAACACTTGTGAACCCAGCCAGTGCTGCTCTCTTTTTTTTTGGAGATTCGTCATTCTCTGGGTCAGGAAGGCTTAATTTTTAAAATAAAAAATAATGTTCTTTGATGATTTGTCTTCATATTTGAGTGTACAATTAGCTAGCTACTAGTTTAACTAGACTATTTCATAAACAGCTTGTAGGTTATGCTATAACAACCGGAGAAGGGACTTCTGGTTGGACACAATGGACTGAGTTTATCCTTAAAGCTGCATTAATTGATATTTTTGGCCACTTTGTGGCAGCGGATGACATAAACACAGCAATAACATACTTTCATTTTATAAAGTTGTTCTTGCTAACAGTTGCATATTTATGGTTATGGTTAATATATGACTGCACTTCTTCCCAGGCTTCGGGCCATTTTAGGGTGAAACTATGTTATCTGACAGCAGGTGGTCAGGGAACAGAAGTCTTCTCGTATTAAATTCCACAGATTACATGAAAGACTGCAACATGAGTGGCTGCAGCCTTTTTTGCAAGATGGAAACTGATGCGTGTATTATATTTATAGGTATGCATAAGGTAAATCCCCAGTCCCAGAAGGAGTTATATAACTCTTCTTGTAAGATGAAAAAATTGTAGTGTACAGAATTCCTGTGGTGTACTTTGCACCTGACCTGTTATATCATGCTTATCGTCTTCATTAACAGCCTCTGGTTATGTGGGCTTTGTCATAAACGTGTGATTCCATCCAAAGGTTCAACCTGACTATCACCTCACCTTAAGTCCTCCAAAGATCACACTTACTCACTCAGAATGTTTCAGCAATCATCAACCAGCCTAATTTCATATAAACCCCTGGATCAATGCATAATCCTCCGTGCGTCTTCAGTGAATGCTGAGGTTGTAATGCTAGATCTGAAATGGTCACCCGGCACGGAATCACTTACATATGCAGCCGCTGCTGATAGCTGAGGATGTTGCATAGGCAGGTGCAGTTTTATCAGGTGATGGAAGTGCAACTGGCGGGCGGGGAACATGTTTTATCAGCGCCTCATGCATGTATTAGCTGTAAAAGAGTTCAGAGGCTGTGTTATCTCGCAGCCAAATTTCGCCAGGAAAAAAAAAAAATTTGATGAAGCATAAGAAAGTTTGAATTTAAAAAATAAATAAAATTACAAGAGAGTAAATTAAAATCTTTACTTTTAACATCAACATGAGTTATTTTCTGACCTACCATAAATGGAGAAATGAGCTTCGTTACGCCCACAAACGGGACCATATATCAAATGTTCACAGTTAGAGATTAAGGACAAAATTGTGAAACTGCCTAATTATCTAGATTGTTCACGTTCAAAGGACAGCAACAACATTATTGAAATTGCTGTACTGTAAAGTGACAACACCTTTTATGGAGCTGCCCCCTTTTGTAATAGTAACCCATTGAACAATCATTTCCAGGAGTCCTGTAATAAAGACGTAGCTTGAGGGGTCGTGCATAAGTGCTCTAACCGCACGTGTGATTACAATGTTAACATGGCTGAATAAATATACAGGTCCTTCAGCCACACATGGGATTAGACACTTAACTAGGGGAAGGCCACAGCAGGATTAGCCTGCGCAAGAGAGCAGAGACCGGCTTCATTCGCTTAGGCAAGGACGAGTGCTGTAGTATACCATATAACCACTTTGACTGTGTGTGAACATCTGTCAAAGGTCGATGTAGATCATGTAAATAAAAAAGAAGAAATATCTGCCTCTGCATGTCGGTGACCTCATATTTATGTTCTGCTTTTTTAAGTCTGGCTCAATATTGTGTTATTTGTACAAATAAGCGCCATGCGCACAGGTTGCAGATAGGGAAGTTACATGACGTACATACCTTTTGTGATGTAGAACAAACAGATAATGATCGTATTGATTTGGAATCTCAGATTGACGTAAGACGCATATGGAATTGGACTGCATTGGAGAAATCTAAGATTAATTGCACTGAATTGTATTTAAATTGCACTGGCTGGAATTAGCTGTTAAGTAGCACCCTTCTTTAAATCAAAAATGGTGATGAGCTCTCTTCCCTGCTGTTTGTTGCTTTGGGATTCACTTAACCATGTCAAACTATTCAGCCACCAGTATCTGAGATTCACGATGTTGGTTATCAGCTGTTAAATTTACAGCTGTTATAGCTGTGTTCAAAGCAATGTGCAAGACTGGTTTATAGTTTCTATAAAACGTGTCTTCTATTAATAATCAAACTAATCTCATTGATTATTTTTCCACATTAACAAGATTTTCTCCTGTCTTCGCGCAGGAGGAGAGAGGTGGGCTGCGGCCTCGTCTCTGCCACCTGAAGAAGGGAGCCAGCGGCTACGGCTTCAACCTGCACAGTGAGAAGACCAGACCAGGCCAGTTCATCAGAGCTGTGGATGAAGACTCTCCAGCACAGAGAGCGGGCCTCAGGCCACAGGACAAGATCATCCAGGTACACAACGCGCGCTCACTCGTGCTCTAAATCACACGCTGTTCCTGACGGGTGAGAGTTTTGCCCGATGCTGCGAGTTTTATTTTGTTTGTATCTGTAACAGTTGTAATCCTATTACATTATCAGTGGGCAGACGGGAAACTGAAATCCCAAGAGGTATTAGGTTATTATTAGATGGAGAGTGGACGCAGCAGGAATGTGCGCATGTTTTTGTGTGTGCGTGCAGGTGTGTTTGTCTACATGCTCCTGTGTGTGTGACTGTTTTTGTTTGAAGCAAAAGTGTGTGTGTGTGTGTGTGTGTGTGTGTGTGAGAGAGAGAGACAACCAGACCTTCTGGCCATGTTGAACATGGCAGGGTCAGAGTTAATCCACTTACTGTGTCTGTGGGCTGAATTACAGTCTGCGGGTTCGGGGTAACACCAAAACTGTACAGACTGTATTAACAGGGAGATAGAAGCTTTAAACAGGTCATTGTTGAGGTGTAACAGGTGGATGTCGGGAAACCGAATGCTTGGAATTGAGTTTTCGCTCGGGGTCCGGAGTGTTCTGTACCACCTGTTCAATAGTCACAGCTAGTGTGGGAGCCGGTGAGGCTGAGAGATTCCTGACGTATTCCCACGTCGGATCTTCCTCCCACAGGAATTCCTCAGCGACTTATCTCCCTGGATGCTTGATTAGTTCCAACTCTGGGAGTATGCTTGTATACCACGCCCTGTAATAACAGTGTTAGCCAACATTTTCCATCATTGTGTGAATGATCAGTGTTACCACACAGTTTATATCCCGTGCTCTTGTTATTGGACACAAACTATAATTATCTTAACTTTCCAAATCAAAGTGATTGGAGTGTTTCCGCCTGTGCAAGCCGACTCTCTGTCTTTTATTCATTAACAGCTGTAGTGTAGGATCAGTAGATCAGGTGAAATGCAATGACTGATAAGGTGCCTTTGATGGTATCTTAGAAAAAGAATGCATTACACCACAGTTTAATGTGATCACATGTTCTGACCTATCTATGGAGAGCCAAAGGTTTCATTATTAAATAAATAAATAGGACATTACGAAATAGATTTCACCAGTCCCCACTCCTGCACCTTTCAGCCAATCACGTTTTGTTAAGTAATCAGAAAACTTGAAAATGTGTTTTATTTTCAGGTTCTGAAATTTAAATGATTTGACTTTATTATGGGAATTTGTTCACGATGTTCACCTGAGATAGTGATGTCCTCCGTCAGTGTATCTAAAAATATCTGCAGCATGTCTGAACACACAGAGAAGGAGTGCCACGAGGAAGGTAGCATGTTGCCTTTCTTTAGCAAGCTGAACAATGAGAGAGTTCAGTTTTGTGTCTGTAGGCACAGCGAGTCATAATTACTTTGGCGTTGTTTTTAGCTTACAGGAACTGACAGGCTAAATTTGATAGCAATAGTTGAGCTTGCCAAGACAGTTTGGGGGAAGGCAACAAGTGCTTTTTCATTTTGACTTGTCATAGCAGGTAAAACGCAGGTGTTACTGGATCACATTAAGTATGGCTCTAAACCATGAACAACCCTGAAACTGGAATGGAATTCAGCCATCGTTTGTTTTATTATTTACACCTGCGTGTCGTCTTCTCACTGTTGCATGTTAAAATGTCTTCTGTGACATAACAGTGTCAGTGAGAAGCCATTTAACTATACAGACCTTTTGAAATAAAGCTGTAAGTAAAATAACTCACTAACATTTCATAAACATAATTATGCATTGTCAGTGTATTGATTAATTTATATATTTCTTAGCTATGGTTGTCATTCATTTCATAGCCTCCTTACTGTAACCTCACCAGTTGTAAATCATCCCACAACCAGAGAACTGGTTTGATGAGCTGGTTTCTGATCCTGCATCTGCTCCACGGCCAGTGTACTGGAAAGCAGAATGATTTCTCGGCTCGGTTTGTTTATATGGATATTTTTTTAGCACTATGGTTAATGTGGTTGGGCCTGCTGCCTGCTGGTTAACCGTGGTTAAATGTCTGCTTCCTCTCCCCCCCCCCCTCCTCTCTCAGGTTAATAGTATGTCGGTGATGGGCATGCAGCACTCAGAGGTGGTGGCAGCCATCAAAGCAGGAGGAGACGAGACCACGCTGCTGGTGGTCGATGCCGAGACTGAAGAATTCTTCAAGAGATGCAACGTCCTGCCCACCGAGGAACACGTCACCGGTACGACACACAAATGCCTACACACACCATCTGGATTTGGCTTTGCAAAAGTTGTTACCATCGTGTCTGTTTACCAGTGTTAAAAGATCAAGAAGAAAATGCTCAGAAATGTAGTTCAAACTGACCGTATAATGAATAGAAATACAGATGAAGTGAGGCCTTTATGTCTTCTTTCCCTGGTAGGAAATCTTCCCGAGCCAGCTTCAGAGAGAGCATCAGAGGAGGAGGTGAGGACCCCACACACACACACACACACACACACCCAGCACGCTGTCAGTCAGCACTTATCAGCGACTGTGGCTAAGGAGTTAGGGCGGGTCCTCCCCCAGTCTGCATGTCACACTGACCTTGGGCAAGGAACCCCAGATATTAAGCAAAATACCACATATAAAATAATCAGATTTATGTTCAGTGCAATGAACTTCGCTGTTTTGCATTACAGAGGGCAGATCCTTTAACTTATTAGAAAAGGTAAACAGACTGGGGTGGATATGAAAAGCTGAAATTCTGAGATGACTCAGACCTGCCACCCGTGGGAAATGATTTAACTTAAAAAAAATTCCTGATGTTATGTCATTTGCAAGCTAGCTTGCTGGTTCACCAGGCATATAAGTTGGTAAATCAACGTTACGTTATATTGTCCGTGTGTCGCAGATTGTTAAATGTGACTTTTCAGAGTATTCAGAATCTGAATTATTATTGCAGCCAAACCCGAAACGGTAATGAGGAGCAGATCATAGCAGGGTGGGAAAACTGTGTAGTCTATAACCAGTGGTGGAAGAAATACTGAGATCTTTTACTTCAGTAAAAGTTGCAATACAACAATGGCAAGAAACTCATTATTGCGTTTCATACTCCAAGTCTAAGTCCTGCATTCAAAATCTTACTTAAGCAAAAGTATTGACATGTTATGTTTTTCACTATTGGAATAGTAATACTGGTTTATTGACACGTACAAAAGCAGCATTTTAAAGTTGTCAACGTGAAGCTAATCTAAACAATTTAGCTTTATCTTTTTGTAGTTTAATCTATACCAATGCTATTTTAAAGTTATTTTCTAAAGATGATCAAATGATTTAAAGATAAAATATTGATCTGTAACCAGTTACTATAGCCGGGAAATAAGTGTAATGGAGTAAAAAGTACAATATTTCCCTCTAAAATGTTGTACAAAGTAGCATAAAATGGACGTACAGTACTTGAGTAAATGTACCTAGTTTCTTTTGATATTCTGAATAACGTAATGGTATGGCGGTGAGTGGGGAAATGCACATGAACTAAGCATTGCACTATTCTCAAATAATTTCCCCGAGGTCGGCAGGTCTGAGGCATCGTGAGCTAACTGTAAACTAGTGCAAAGACCTGAGAACTGGTGTGATGCGTTCAGTTCTCTTTGCTGTAAAACCAAACACTTCCCATAATCCAATTCAGTGTTGCATTTCATTAAACTCTCCCTGCCTGGTCAATACATATGTGTTTGATAACGCAGGCTTTCTGTTGTAAATGTGTAGTTTCCGAGCTCTTGAGAAAGCTTCCCCAGAGCCGCAGTATCGGTGGAATGCACCTTTAATTAGCCGCCAGCCTTAGATCCATGTGTTGGTGTGTTATTCCACAGGCAGAGCAGGGCGGGTTTATCAAAAGCAAACACTCTCCTGTAGGAAGGAACAGCAACACCCCCCCACCCTCCTCTCTCCACACACACACACACTGACAACATTGGAAAAGTGGATTGGCCCCTCTAATGACATTGTGGCTGACCCTTCACCATGGCAACAAGAGCTCACCAGTGTGTCTTTCCTTGTGTCCCGGAGGATCATGGGATTGAAGTGGCTTTAACTCTCAGGGCGAGTTGGGGATTATGCTAATGAGATGACTAACGAGCGCCGTTCACATACTCACACATCCAGGCAGATTAAACTCTACTGCAGCAAGAACAATCACTCATTCACCAGCAATTACATAACACAGCGTTGGTTAGAAACACCCGTCACTCACCCTCTGACCTGCGTGTGTGTGTGTTTATCAGCTGACCATATAAACAGATGCCCACAATTCAGAGAAACGCAGCTGATTGAAATGATTAGATTTGAGCTACTAGACTACATTAGACAACCTCAGCTGCCACTGTTCAGTTTGCACAAAGAATCTAGTATGCTCTAAAATAGCAACAGATCGCTGCTGTGGTGCAGCCATTTGCATAAAACACTCCCGCACAAATAGAGTCAATATCTTAAGTTCAGTGGGTTAAGTTGCATTAGCAGAAATAGAAAGTCTATTAAAAGAGGAGTGTCTGGTGGGTTGTGGTTTGGTGTAAAAAGCCTCTTCTAGCAGCTAGAGAACATCACCGCAGGCCGCTTGTGTTCTGCCACATATTGTAGCATTTGTCCAAAGCCACTTACAGAGGCCTGGGTTTATTTTTAGAAGAGCAGATGCTTACGAATTGGGTGCCAGTTTCATACATCCATGAAGTGATGTACTGCTGAGCAGGTCAGACGGAGCAGGTTCAGAATGTGGACTTGAGGGGGGGGCCTTGTGTTAATATTTCAACTAAGTTTCAATCCTGCACACAGATCAGTGCTGACACTGAGCCTGGGCTTTAATAAGTGAGGGATGTGAATATGATCCAAGCTGTGCAGCAGTGAGGCAGGCGGGCTGTCCAGCGAGGCTGCACGGCCCCCTGCTGGACAACTACTAAACAATCACCCCTGTTGCTGAAAATATATACACACATATGACACTGATCCACTAAATTTTCTGTTTCATTGCACCAAATCAAACACACAGTTGCGCTGTATTATAAACAGATCACACCAACAATAGAGTGCAGGGGCAGCAGAATCATACTGCAGAAGGAGAATTCATCATTCATTGAGTTGGTAGAACAATCTCCAAACAAAGTCCACTTACTGGCTTGTTCTGAAGCTTTGGACCATGAAGTAAGTGTACGTGAGTGGAGCTGTTTTATCAACGGCTGTTTCAAGAATGAGCTGTCAGAGTAAAAAATCCTTCCTTCGTTACCTACTATTACAGATTAAGTGATTATTTTCTCTCAGTGCCTCATGAAACCTCAAGGTCCACCACATCCAGTTATCAAAGTGTTAGATGACTGGTGGAGCCCTTTTCATTGTCAGGACATCCAAGAAGTCATTTAGTGTTAAAACAGTTGGCGTCATGCTGCTTCCGCTGTAACAATCTGTTAGAATGGACAATATGTTGACCAACTGACCCTTTAATGTCATTCATGAACAGTGTGGTGTTTTCATTGTTTGGCAGGTAGCAGCAGCGGCTGCAGCACCACCGATGAAGCCTAAAGTGTCTGTGAGCTCGTCATCCTCCAGTGCCTCCTCCAACGCCTCCCTGCCAGCTGCAACCGCCAGCTCCTCCCCTCCAGAGGTGCTTTGAGCAACCACATGTTCACCCCATGGAAACACTTCTGCACATTTTTTAATGATAAAACTCAGATACACTAAATACAGAACATATGTTAACAGTATGCATATAATTTCAAGTTGAAGCGTAACCCGTCCACCGTTAGGCCTCTTTATCATTTAATAAATTAAACACAAATAGACAAAAATGATAAAAGAGCAGAAATCAGTTGTAATATCTGAGATAAAGACATTTTTACAAGAAAATGAGAAATATTAAGACTGTCTCAGAAACGGAGCGACTTTTTTTCTCAAACGCTGGATTTCATCTGTATTTTACAATTGTTACTGCTAGTTTTCTTCCAATACTATAACCCTTTCATTGAAATAACATTTTTCGACAGTAATAATATTGCAGCCCTTTCCTAAAAAAAAGATTCTCTGAACAGCGGGCCTAATACTGATATATCACGATTTCTTGAAGCCCGATGTGATGTCATGTGACTACTTGTTTTCTCCAATCTACAGTCCAAGACCAAAGATGTCCTAACTATCTTCACGATCGGTGCCAGGAAATGGCATATTTTCTTGAAAGATTACCTGAACTATTAATTGATTATCAGAATAGTTTGTTAAATATTCTCCTTTTCATTGAAAAATAGATTGTTAGACTTTCAGCTCCAATTTCAATCAAGAGAGTGTAAAAATACACATGGAAATGATTCACATCCTGATCTTCACTCAAAATTAGATCATGCAAAGTGATGAACCTGAAGATTTTGTTGGCAGATGATTGTAGTGCAAATATACTGGATGTAGTGTATCAATGTCAGATTCCCACCAGAGAGAATCTGACATGTAATGCAAATATATAGAATGGTCCTGAATATTCTGCAAAGGCAAGATTAATGTACAGTCTGTGAACGCATGTGTATGTGTCTCCAGGTCGAAAGAGCCGCAGAGCCGGCCCCAGCTGCCGACAACCTGGGTCTGGGCATGTCACTGGCCCAGGCTAAAGAAAGAGCCCGTCAGAAACGAGCCGCCAAGAAAGCCCCGTCCATGGACTGGAGCAAGAGGAACGAACTGTTCAGCAACTTATAAACACCACCACCATTATCATCATCATCATCATCATCATATCACCATCATCATCATCATATCATGTCCATCTCACTCAAACTTGTCAGTACTGCCCTGTGTCTGGTCTCTGGATTTTGTTTTTACGTTGTCACGCTGTGTATGAAAGTCACAGTGTTCATTTAGAGCATTTTAAACTCCCATGTTGAACAGTATTATATGATGATTTTATTTGTTTTAATTTAGGGTTTTGCCGCTTTTCTTTGATGTCACACACAGGAATGAATGTTAATATATTCAGAAGAATGTTTAAAAGCAAATAGTAATGTACAGTTTCTCATATGAAAAGGTCCATGGAAGGACTAATCGGGGCCGATTTTGTGTCTGATTAATCTACAGTTTAAATGAATATCAGATCAGATTGACGTCTGCAATCAGTAACTACAATGAAAAGATATCCACTTTCTCTTGTCGGGATTTGAATTATATACCGAATAACTCTGCTGGGCCCTTTTCGCCAACATTCCATGACAATCTATTTGAACACCATCAGTATGTTCAAATCTTAAGATGGTTGAAGGGACTGTAGTGTTTAGAAAGATGGACGCTCTAGTAGCCTTAATGGAACCAATTCTTCATGTCTGTCCATCCAGTTTTCTTTCCCTTCAGGGTTTCTGTCATGATCTATAATTACAGATTATTTTTTCATGTAGCTCCTGATAGATTTGTACATACATGAATAAATGATTTAAGAGGAAATTTTATTTTGACTGGAGTGAAATGAAGCTCATCACGAAGTTGTGTTGTTTCTGCCGAACCACTTAGTATCGACCACAAGTGAGACTTTTCTCATGTGAAAATATGAAAGTATACAGATTTTGGCTCTGTGCTGTAGAATGTATCGGGCATTGACAAATATAACATTTGGATCAAATAGAATTGAGTCTGTTTTGTAATATAGTACATTCTTAACCTTGGAAACAGTAATTTGACAAAACAAAAATCTTAAAGCTAAACTAATCAATATTTTTTTATTAACAATGGATCGAACGACTGTGTAATTTGCATTCTAAAACTCAAAGTAAAAAATATTTAAATGATTGTTAAATTGACAATAAATAATTATATTTTATCTTATGTCTCTATTGAATTAACCCCTTAACACCTGAATGTTAAAAATTTAAAAATGATTTGAGTTTTCATTTGCTTTCAAGCTGATGCTAAATTAAGTGAAGATTGTTAATTTGTCTATAGAACATAGAAAATATATAAATACAGGTAGGCCTATGTGTAGGTATGATGCAAATTAGCGACAACAGGCATAAACAAGAAACCAGGGCTTGCAAAAGGTTCCTAGCTACATATGGAATACGCACCAACAGGCATTGGGGAAATCCATGTGCTATCTTCGTTTGCAGTCTGAAAGGAAGAGGTATGATGTGAATTTGCGACAATAGGCGTCAAGGGGTTAATAAATTCCATCTCATGACCCAGTCTTCCAAAAAGGGGCCAAAAACGTGCAACTACTCATGTCTTACCATTTGACTGTTTAACACTGCATTCACCTATTTTTTCCAAGAAATACACCTCGCTTTCTACACTGCTCAAAAAAAATAAAGGGAACACTAAAATAACACATCCTAGATCTGAATGAATGAAATAATCTCATTAAATACTCCTTTCTTTACATAGTTGAATGTGCTGACAACAAAATCACACAAAAAATTATCAGTGGAAATCAAATTTATCAACCCATGGAGGTCTGGATTTGGAGTCACACTCAAAATCAAAGTGGAAAACCACACTACAGGCCGATCCAACTTTGATGTAATGTCCTTAAAACAAGTCAAAATGAGGCTCAGTAGTGTGTGTGGCCTCCACGTGCCTGTAGGACCTCCCTACAACGCCTGGGCCTGCTCCTGATGAGGTGGTGGATGGTCTCCTGAGGGATCTCCTCCCAGACCTGGACTAAAGCATCCGCCAACTCCTGGACAGTCTGTGGTGCAACGTGGCGTTGGTGGATGGAGCGAGACATGATGTCCCAGATGTGCTCAATTGGATTCAGGTCTGGGGAACGGGCGGGCCGGTCCATAGCATCAATGCCTTCCTCTTCCAGGAACTGCTGACACACTCCAGCCACATGAGGTCTAGCATTGTGTTGCATTAGGAGGAACCCAGGGCCAACCGCACCAGCATATGGTCTCACAAGGGGTCTGAGGATCTCATCTCGGTACCTAATGGCAGTCAGGCTACCTCTGGCGAGCACATGAAGGGCTGTGCGGCCCCCCAAAGAAATGCCACCCCACACCATTACTGACCCACCACCAAACCGGTCATGCTGGAGGATGTTGCAGGCAGCAGAACGTTCTCCACGGCGTCTCCAGACTCTGTCACGTCTGTCACATGTGCTCATTGTGAGCCGATTTTCATCTGTGAAGAGCACAAAGGCGGAGATAGCGGTCCAGCTGCTGGGTTGTTGCCCTCCTACGGCCTCCTCCACGTCTCCTGATGTACTGGCCTGTCTCCTGGTAGCGCCTCCGTGCTCTGGACACTACGCTGACAGACACAGCAAACCTTCTTGCCACAGCTCGCATTGATGTGCCATCCTGGATGAGCTGCACTACCTGAGCCACTTGTGTGGGTTTTAGACTCCGTCTCATGCTACCACTAGAGTGAAAGCACCGCCAGCATTCAAAAGTGACCAAAACATCAGCCAGGAAGCATAGGAACTGAGAAGTGGTCTGTGGTCACCACCTGCAGAACCACTCCTTTATTGGGGGGGTCTTGCTAATTACCTATAATTTCCACCTGTTGTCTATTCCATTTTCCATTCCATTATTTTTTTGAGCAGTGTATATGAATACACCTGGACAAAGACATAGTAAAAATTGTCCTTTTAATGATTTCCAGGTCGACACAGAATTCAGTGGAAATATTCATACAAAGTAACAGCATCCACCAAAATATAACAGAGGAACCAATGGTGCTAAAACTTTGTTTTGATGTAAAAATTCCTTTACTCCATGGCTTACAGTAGAGCCAAATATCCTCCCTGCAAAAGCATTGAAAGAACTCAAAAACTAAAAAAATCAAAGAGTGCATTTGTTGGACAAATGTAGGCTGTAGATAATTGCTTTTCTTTACTTGCCTCATTGAAAGAGGATGGCTCACAAACAGGCATTCAACTGCACAATAAGTGTATGGCATTGGGTCAATGATTGCAGTAATCAGATGAATTAATAGTAAGAGCATCTCTTTGTGCAGTGAATACTCTATAAGGTGTGTGGAAACAAGGGATAGGTAAACAAAAGTAAAGGAATATTAATACAATAAACCTAACACTGTTGATCCTGAACTAAACTTGTCTCACAAAGCTTGTTAACGACAGGTTCTGTTAACTGGGTTTACCAATCCAAGAGTAAGCCAGAGTTTACCCCAAATACAGCTGCCTAACCCGCTAATTGCTCTGAGAGAGGTCTCTGCTCTTCTATAGAGTCTGGAGTGTGCCAAAATTATTTAAACGATGCATGATAAAACTATTTACACAAAGTAAAAAATAATAAAACCATTGTTAAAGTTCCAATCAATAATTCTATTTTATCTTATGTCTCTAAATGATAAATTAATAATAAAATTTTAGTTTTGGTTAAAGTTTCCAACCTTAATCATTTTCAAAAAGCTAAAGTTTTAGTATTAAAACATAGTGGCTGTATGTCACCACTGTTTGACTTGCTTTGTATATTCGTCTGGTCTATATAAATACGTTAGTTATCTAACTATTGGTGTGTTTTGATAGAAGGCTGGAAGTGATTAGGTTGGGTTTCCACAGACCAGTGAGCCAGTTATCTAGCAGGGAGCAACTACGCTCATGTTTGCGGAGCCCACAGTAAAGCATTGTAAAATTGAAATATGATATTGCGACACAGTACGAAATGGTGTAACAAATAGAGACATACAATAAAAAACAATGTAAAAAATTTATTAATTTATTTAATAAACATGTGAAAGTCTTTGATTATTCCTGTAGCACACTCGAGACTCCATACACTGCGCTGTGTTCATCCCTTACAGTGTTCAGTCATAGTCTTTCAGAAGGTTGATCTTACTTGAAATGCTTTGTAACAGGCCACTGTTGAAATGATTAAAGCATCCCCCATTCTTTAGAAACTGCACACTTACAGTAAATTCACTTCAAAGCACCCTGAGGTGAGCTGTAAAACCTTCCAAGCTGTTAGTGGGAGGTGGACTGAGCTCCACAGTCTCGACAGTCTCCACTTTACCTCACAGCAAGTCGCACCTGATAGACATCTCTTTAAAAATTCCTCACTTTGTGCCGACCCCTTAATGTGCCTCTTCAAGAGGATAAAAACTTTGGTAAAAACGTGTAAAAACAAATCTAATATGGAATATGCTGCTTTTATTACAATAAACAATATTTTCCCCATGTTATAGACAACAAGCAGCAAAATATATATAACAGTATTGATGAACACTAGAATGATTTAAGTCAATAGGAACTCCATTTGTTAAAAACAAACATAAGTATAAATATACTCAGTATAAAGATATCTGCCTACACACATACACAGCGCCACCATAGACTTATCTACACATTTACAGGTAACGTGAATAAAATGGACCCTCATTCATTTAGTGATAATACACTGAACACAGACATCTGGAAGCCGATCTTGCAGCTGCTGTTTGTTGTTGCTCCAATAACATTCCCAAGTGTGTGTCCTAAGGCGAAGTGCTCGCGTTGAAAAACTGGGCAATATTGAGGGAAAGTTGTGCAGGAAATCCTCAAATGTGCACTTATTGATTCATCCAGAGCCATGAAGAGGTGCTGAGTCCTCTGCCTCTGTTCTTACCAGCATCAAAGATCCATCTTGATCTCCTGTTTTGATGGCTTCTCGCTTCTCCTGTGAGGCAGAGTTTGGGGATGTCACTCCAACATAGCGTCCAGCTGGTCAGCCAGGTCGTCAAACATGTTGCCAATGTCATCCAGAATATTTCCTGCTGCCTTCACTGTGCTGCTGCCACTGTGAAGCAGACAGGGGCTATGTTACAAGTGTACTGATACAGTATAAAGAGTCAAGTTCTTCTAACTAATGGTGCTGAACAACAAGCAATGTAGTACTTTCTGATCCCCATAAGGAATTTCTTCAACAGAGATTAGATTAGACTAATCCATTATTTATTTCTATTAATTACGATAACATTGTAACAAAAAAGTAAGAACCACAGATCAGTTTTTATACCTTATCCGTACATTCTATGTTCAAGTTCCAACTGTGAAAGGAGACTGTGGAGCACACAGCCACCCTACCAACACGTGAGTATAGATCAGGAGTCCTTACCCGTCCACGCAGCTCCCGTAGGCCAGTTTGTTCTCCACCACTTTGAGAGCAGCCTCCAGCGACGTGCTGGTTTGCTCCAGCCTCTTCTGAGCCAGCACCTCCGGACCGGCCGCACCAGCCTGGGGTGGCCCTGTTCTCCCTTCCTGAGCCGGTAGGGCCGAGGTGGTGTATGAATGGGCCGAAGCTGGGGAGGACGGAGAAGCGAACGCAACGCCCTGGACCATGGTTAGGTTCGGAACTGAAGGACAAGAATGTAGGGGGTTAATCTGTCATCCAAAATAAATGACTTTTGGAACAATTTTGGTCAAAATATTATTTAACGAGGGAGACAGTCCTCCCTGCCAAGTAAAAATTTTTTAGTCGGTGTTACCTGCAGTTGACGCCGAGGCCATGCTGGGCTGAGGGAGTCTTGATACAGACAAACCAGCAGCTTTCTGTGGACTCTCTGGCTTGGACATCACTGTCTGTGTGCGTCTCACTGGTTTGGGACTGGGCATACATGTCTGTGTGTGGATGCTGCCGCCCAGCTTCGGAGAAACTGTGTGAACCTGTACGCTGGTTAGTTTAGGAATGGCGGTTTGCGCACTAGCTTGCGCTGGAGGGACTGTTTTCTGGGGGGTTGGTGGTTTGCTGTCAGGGGATTGTTTGAGAGGACTGGAAGGTTTTGAGGACACTGGAAGCTTCGGGCCTTTCCCCATGGAGCCTACTCTCTGGAACACAATCCCCGGCCTCTGAGATTCACAGTCGCTCAGCGTGACATCATCGTGTGTGTGGAGACTCTTGGTTTGCGGGTGGTTGTCGTCTCTGTTCGGGGTAGTTGCCTCATCAGGTGTCGACGGGTCTTTGGGTTTGTGTCGTCTTTTGACCGTGTCCGACTCTTTGAGATTGAACTCTGGGAGTTCCAGGCTGTTCGGGGTCTGTAATGGACCCTCAGGAGGGGTCTTGACTTCAAAGTCTGCTCGGGGGACAACTGCTATCCTGGGCCGCTGTTTGATAGTGAGGTTGCCTTCTTCAGCAAAAGGGAGGTGGTCACCGGAGCTGTGCTTTGAAGAAGCTGTACCACTCTTTGATATTCTTTCACTTTTCCTTGCTTTCTCTTCGAGTGTTCCCTCTGTGCCTCCACTTCTTTGTCTGTCGGTCTCTACTTCTGTCCTCTCGCTTCCTGTCCTCCTGAGGCCCGCCAGGCCCAGAGCAGGGACAGGTTTGGAGTGCTGTAGGATGGTGTGAGGCGCCATCCCATATGAAATCGGGGAGGAAACAGGGCTGAATATAGGTGACACTGGGATGGGAGTTGGTGGTATATCTATCCTCCTGGAGGGACTGCTGCTGCTTCCCTCTAGCCTGGCTGCGATGCTCCTTACACTGCCTGTGCTCTCCGTCGACACCCCTCCTTTCGCCTCTGGCTCCGCCACTTTCCCATTCCCTGGTTGGCGTGCCGGGCTGCCGCTTACCGAGCTCATCCTCTTGGGCGGTGGCGGGGGTGGGCCTTTGCGTCGGGATCGCACGGCGAACGAGTGGCTGCGGTTGATTTGGCGTTGGGTCCCTGTGGTACTTGTGTGCCCGCGTCCCGGCCTGCGCGACAGGGTGGCATAGGAGGGCATGACTGCAGAGGAAGCAGAGGTGCAGGGGGGAGCGAGGTCGTCGTCTTCGTCTGGCTCACCGTCGGACAGAGCGTATCGAGTCAGGCTTTGGGCGCGCTTCTTGTGCGGACCCCTCTGGGTGTCATCAGCTTGGCCCTGTCCAGGTCGGGGTCCCAGCAGAGGGACAGCTCCAGGTAGAGGCTTGGAGAGCTTGTGAGCCCCGTTGATGCCTCCTGCCTGGGCGTGGAGGTAACTGAAGGCCTTCTGTGTGGGCGAAGGCTGCGGGGATGGAGAGGAAGGGGAGGAGGGCGGGTGGTGCTGAGGCTGACAGAGGCGGCTAGGGGACTGGAAGTGTTTGGCCTTGGGCGGGATAGCTGGGTAGGCAAAGCGAGGCATCTTGCTGGGGGTTAGTGGAGGGGTTAGTGGGGAGAAGGGAAGTTTATTGGGGGTAGCTGACCGACTCTGGTGCTCCCACATCTCTGTGGGTCTTTGTCTACTTCTGCCTCCAGGACTGCTTCTTCCTCGCTTGGCCTCCTCCCCTGCACCACAGCCCAGGCTCTCCTCTGACCGGCTGGGTTTCTTTGCTGAAGGTTGTGCAGCTTGGTGGTCTTGAGAATATACTGAATTTGAATTCCCAGAATTCCCAGAATTCCCTGATCCCCGCGATCGCATGCTAATGCTCTCCTGACTGACCGACATGGCAGATATAGCTGCAGCAGAGGTCATGCCTCTGATGCCGAACGCCTCGGCAGCACCTCCTCCCGCCCTGCCCATCATAGCGCTCTGCAGCTCGGCGCTCAACTCGCTGTCCTGGAAGGAGAGGAGGGCCCTCGGTGTGCGAGGGGAGGGGCAGCAGGTGTCAGAAGAAGCGTCAGAGCGAGCGAGAGCGTGCACATTGTGTGATGGTGTGTGTTCGATGGCCACTAGTTCCAAGGCGGTGGGGGGCTTCCGTCGGAGAGTCCCGCCTTCAGCTCTGTCAGAATGGTTACGAGCGCGCTGCAGATCACTGAGTCTCTTCACTGCTAACATGAGCTTCTTCTGATGGCCTGAAACAGAGAGATAGCAATCATTGCAATCTACTGAATACAGCACACACTCTGGTTTAAAGCAAGACGATGTTACGTTTAATGAACAGTGACCTCTGTGGCCACATGGAAATTAGAGAGTACCGGAATATTTGCATTTCTCTTCATTTCCCAAAGTCTCATGAGGTAATTTAAAGACAACATTTGTTTTTTTACCACATTCGCACGATTACTTCTTCTGTCTTTGTGGTCTGATTGGTGTGCTACAGATGTCACATGGTGTTCGAGTGTACTGAACTGAGGAGGGTGCATTCCGTTGCTTATGAATTCAACATATCATTTGTAAGAGGGGTGTTTGTTATTTCTTCTTTCAGATGTTACATAGTTTCCCTTTAAAGTAGTCGTACATATCTCTGAATGCTGCTAATTGCCTTGTTCTAAAAGGGAGGTAGAAAACATTTATATGGAATATTTTCATGGTCTTCTTCTATCAGAGTACCTGGGTTTCAATGTTCCTCCCACTAACAATAGGTTGTATAAAGTTTTTCAGAGGCATTAAAAGGATAACCCCCACTTGCAGCATAATTTGACTCAGATTATACAATGACTTTTGCAAATTTGAAGAGGCTGAAGAGTAAGCTGTCAAAAATAGATGGCTTCATCTTTTGGGGAGACCACCAACATCCACAACAAATTTTGTAGAAATCTGGTCTTATTCCTCACCCAGTTTGGTGATGCCTATCTCCTGCAGGTCTTCCCAGGTGATGTCTTTGACAATAGGGATGGAGTCATAGCCATTGTCGCACAATCTCTTCTGGTACTGAGGCAGTCCAATCATACTCAACCACTCCCCCAGGTCCGACTGAGCAGCAACAAACACAGACCAAAGCAACAGAGGAAGGGGGCGATGAGAATCAAATCCCAAAAGTCTGAATAATCCTGGATGTTGTGCTTTGCTTATTTTACGGTTTGACACTTGGTGGTTCAAGATATTACAACAAATCCAAGAGAAGCAGCTACATTTCCTGAATGTTACAACATGCAAGAGGGAATTATTTCCTCACAGGAATGTAATCAGGCAGCCACTCTGGGATGTTTAGCTTGCCGATCTCCATTGAGATCTTCTTTCGGTGGCCTGGTTTGGTCACTCCGATAGCTGTCAGGTCCTGAAGAATCAAGCACATGTAAACAGTCAGTGACTAAACAACAACAAAAATACAGTAAAGGACATTATTCCACTTTTGGTGACTGCTACACAGGACTGAACACAGGACTGGCTGTGTGTTCCCAGCTAAGTCTTACTCCTCCTCATCTTTGTTAGTTCACTGCACTACTGAGTCATGTAACACATCACATCAATGGAAGAAGATTAATAAAGACGGCAAATTTCCAAGTCATTTGTTAGTAAATGAATTGGTCTTGATAACTGAAAAAAATACACAGACAAAATGTTAGAAATACATAAAACAAGCTCATTAAGAAACACATTCAACAATAACAATAATGAGTTAAATAAGTTAGCTCATTTCCTCAGTGACATTGCTTGTAGCACTTCTGTATTTGCAGCAGTGCTGCACGTGCTGTCAAATTAGTAAATGTGTTTTTCACTGTTCTCCTATTTTTTTATTGCCAGCCTTTTGTTCTAAACTCAGTGTAGATAATGTCAAATGGATGAAATGCTTTTCTTGCATCCTGTCTGTTTTCCTGTTCTCTGAAGTTGCAGTGCTTGGACCGCTCTGCCACCACGGTGCTCCTTGAACACGCCATGTGTTGGTTACCAAGCTGTCGCAACTACAATTTATAATAATGAAAATTAGTTGTGAAAGCCTGAATACCAAAAATTGCAAAATACCAAACCAAAATAATTATGGCAATCAGTAGCCCCCATCCCATCGTCCCCAAATGTATTTGGCAAAAGTTAAGTGATGCTAAAAATGCCAACAATTGTTACACACACCTCAGGGGTCATCCTGCTGATAGTGGGAACATCATATCCCGCGTTGATGAAGTTGGACGTGTACTGCTCCAACTGGAACTCACACAACCACTGATAGATGGCCTCACAGTCCTAACAACAGAGAGGGGGAATATATATAAGGCTTCTCTCTCTCTCTCTCTCTCACACACAATACACACACTTACTCCTCCTATTACTGCACTCACCTTGCCCTCCAGAAACTGTTCTGGCCTTACGAAGCCTTTCTGAGGAGTGCCGTTGACCTGCCGTCGAGAACCACCTACAAAACACACATGATCAAATCCTGCAGGACAACCTCCGCCGTGCTTTACTGTAAATGACAGCAGGGTCGGCCGACCACACCCTCCCAAAGACAGAACAGAGACTCAGCAGGAACACGTTTCCGTTAAGTGAAATCTGTATTTTTCTTTTGTTAAATGTTTGCAAGTTACTAACATAGTCTGCATTAACATCAGCCATGTCAAACTGATGAATCAGTCTTCTCCATGCAGCTGTCTGGGTAAGGGGTGTTGTTGTTGGCTCTCTCCAGGTAAGTAAAGGTGTGTTATCTGACTGATCTGAAAGCCCACTGAACACACCCGTGATTTATCCCTCTTTCACTCATGACACATGACCACAGATCTCTGAGGAATGCACCTTTCCTCCCATTTTCTCCATCTTTACCCCTCTTTCGTCCGAGGCCCGTGTTTTGATCGCTCCCTCTTTTCTTTCTGCTCTTTTAGTCATCCCTCCTGACAGGGTCCCTCGACCTTTTTAATTAAGGTTACACTTTCTATATAAAGCAGCTTTCTGAACACAGAGAAACTTTGCAAGGTTAAGAGTTTTAAGCATGGTCAAAAAGGTCAAGAATAATAGAATTGATTATACCAAAAACGTTATTCCAATCAAGTTTTATCAAGGGTCAGTTCACCCAAATTATAATAAATCAAATGTTCTCACTTACCTTTAATGGTATCTAGACATGCAGTGGGTTTTGGTTTTATTTGTCCAAGTAGAGATACCTGCCTCTGAGACGTCTGCCTCCACATTAATACAATGGTACACTGCTAGACACATGTCAGAAAATATGTTCTTTTGTAATTTGGGTGAACTGACCCTTTGAGGAGTGGTTTTAAGACAACAGAGACATTTAGCCTGAGGTCTTTGAATAAAGGCATAGGACAACATTTGGGGATTTGGGGAACATCTGCTTTTTTGCTTTTTCCCCAAGAGCTTCATGAGAAGATTGATACCACTCTCATGTCTATGCATTAAGTATGGAGATTGAGCCGGGAGGTGATTAGCGCTAGCATAAAGATGGAAGCAGGGAAAGCAAGGTCTCCAAAAAAATATAAATACACCTACCACCTAAAGCTCACTGATTTACACGTTGTGTCTCGTTATAGAAATGTACATAATGACAATTTGTTTTTTTGTTTTACACTACATCACATTCATAGCACAGAATAACACGCCAACTGCTTATCAGAACAGAAATTAACATTCACACAGTTTGGGGGAGGAGCCAGGGGATCAAACCACCAGGCAACCCGCTCTACCTTCTGGGTCACAGCAGACAAACAAGATACAAGGTGAGCGTATTTTAAATGTTTCCCCCCTGCTTCCTGTCTCTATGCTAAGTTAGTCTAACTATGCCCTGACACCAGATCTGTACTTAACGCACAGAAAGAGTGATATCAATCTGCTCATCTCACCGTTAGAAAGAAAGCAGATGAGTGTCTTTCTTGAAAGGGCAACACACCTCTTTTTTCTTTATTTCAACCTGAAACATTACTGTTTTTCATTTGCTCTGTTTATGGAAGTCTATTTTCCTCTACTTTGTTGTGAAGGGTGAAGGTCAGGGGCCCCGGTCTCCCAGGTAAAACAGCACCTAGTGGAGAGGTATGTGGCCTCGGGGCAAGAGACAAAACTTCAGCTTTTGGGCCGAGAAGCAGGCAAAAACGAACATATTTTACAGTACACCAATATAAGTCTTTTTTACAGACATTTTCTTTGCACCTGAATAACAGTAGGGAAGAAAAACAGCAACAAGTGGAACTGATTTAAAATTTCTGTCCTAGAATATCCTACATTTAAGTGCAGTATAAACATCCCAACAAATCTGCGCTGCAATTCTTACCCTTCAGGAGGAACGAGAGCAGCAGAGCTCCGGATGTTTGACACTTCATCCTGCCTTCTGCCTATCCTTCATGCAGTCAACTAATCTGTTCTCTGTTTTTCTCCCTCATTTAACAAATGTCTTGCTCTTTCTGGTTTTGTTCCGGTCTCCGCCCTCTGACCCCTCCCTCCCTTTCTTTTCTCCTTCACTTGAACCCTCCCTCCTATTCAGCCCGAGGTCAACACAGATCCTCTGCTTCAGCTAGCATGTCACTCCTTAATATTTTCATAACGTGTGCGCTTTCCCACGTTTTGTTCTGCACCTGCTGTTCAGATCTAACAGCGTGCACACACTAAGACACATTTTCCCAGCCGTTCGTGTTTCCTTAGAGAGGTGTTTGGATGCTTTTTACAGGCTTGTGTGGTTGAGGGTAGCTAGTGGTTTTATTGGTTTCTGTGGTGAGGTGAGGTAAGCCTTTTCTCTCTCCTTCCATCTCATTTCCTTTCAGGATGATTGCAAAACAGCTCACTCTGCAGAACAAAGGCGCTGCTACCATGTGTGTCTTCAATGGCATTCCTCAGGTAAAAGTAGGTACAGTGATGTCCCCTGAAAGGGATCTAAGTCTCAGGAAATAAAGTGATTTAAATTAAGTTTAGGGTTTCTTGCACTGGCAGGATTTTAAGACAGAGCAAAAATGTTTAAATCCCCTACAGTAAAAATTAAAGGTACAGCAGATTATTAGGACCGCTGTTATGTGAGAGATTCAAAGTATATCAAAATACTGTGAGGTATGTCATTTTACACAAAAAGTCAAACATTTATTATTATTATTATTATTATTATTATTACTATACCCGTTTCTTTACAAGAAAAGTCATAATATTAGAATGTGTCATACTTTGAGAATAAAGTAAAATCTTTATTTAAAAATCCAACATTATGAGAAAAATCTTTAGTAGTCTGAGCGTAATGTAATTTACAAGAAAAAGTCTGTAATACTAAAATAAAATAAAGTCAAATATTTGAAAGAAAATGTCATATTATTATGAGGAAAAGTTAGAATATTAGGATAAAAAAATCATTATTACTTCAAGAATAAAGTCAAACATTTACCAGAAAATGCCATTACAAGAAAAAAAGTTTTTAATACTGGTGTGAGAAGTCTGTCATCTTTCAAGTGTTGAATGAGGGATGCAGATTATAATCATAGATTTCAGGATAATGAACAAAAAATTATGCCAGCAGTTTTCCCAACGGCAAAGAGCGTAGATATAAAAAAACACAAGCTCATGTTATCAGAAAAGAACTAAAGCTCAGATTTCAAAAAATGCAGCACACAGCCGTCTCATGGCTCTCTGGAAATGATATGAAAGGGAGCCAGGAGCTTTTGGGGGACTGTCTCTGGATGAGACGGCTGTGTGCTGCACCTTTTTGAGGAGGTGGGAACGTTAACCAGATGTGCATTCACCAAAATGACCGATGTCTTCATCGTGAAAGCTTCTCTACCTATGTCAATCTGTAGTGCACAGCCTCTTTTCTGAGTCTTTCAGATAAGACAGTCCCAAAGAGGGCAAACAGGCGAGGGGGTAACCAAGTGTGGCACAGACCAGAGCTGTTGACCTTTGACCTTTTTAAGACTTTTATATCAGAACTTCTTTCATAATCAAAACTTTTGTTCATAAAGAGGAGCTGAGACAGAGAGAAAATGCATTATTAGAATTATCCCTAGAGAGTTGTTCATAAACACAGGAAGAAGACGGGAGACTTTTCATTCCTTGACTAACCTGTGGTCCCATCCGCCTGTTTGCTGTGGTCTGCTCCCACAATGTGGAGATGGTCTCCAGATTCACCAGCAGAGGGAGCCAGCTGCACACACGCACAAAAAAAAAAATACATGATGGAAGCTGAAATGAAGACCGAATCTCTAGACTTGCTGAGGATCACTGCAGACAATGTTCAACGTGGCAAGTCAGATAATCAATTCAGTACAATGACAGTGTGAACATCAAACTAGTGGAGAAAATCTGACATGTTGTACGTAGCTAGGTTCTAGGTCATTTATGAACTGCATTGGAAGACTGGAAAGTTCTTATAGAGCAAAAAGAGATCAAGATTTTTAATGAGGAACACCCTACATACAGTTTGTAGCACAGTCAGAACAGATGCTTGGCTTGCTCTTTTTCCATGTAATGTCACTCATGTTACTGGGGCGAGCTTACCTTGCCAGTGTCAGCATTATGGCGATTTTGAGTCCCATTCTGTTTGTGGCCGCTCTCTGAGCTCTGGCCGCTGCCAGCGCTGCGGCTGCTGCCCACGCTGCCCGCGCTGCCAACACTGTTTCTGTCACCTGAGAGAGCAAGACAGAGAGACACAAACAGACATAGATATTACAGTGTAAAGTGAGACTTGGAGAGAAAAGTTAGGAAGTCAGGAGAGAAAGCTGTAAAGATTGTAGCGTGCAATTTGTCGGTAAAGGCATGTGGTCTGAGTGCACAGCAAAAAAACAAAAAACAACTTTAACAAGTCATTAGCAAGTCCTATTAAGGATCAGTTTGATGTTTCCAGAAATACACTTGAATGCTTTCTTTACAACAGTTAATTGAGAAGATTGATACCAATCTCACGTCTGTGTGCAAGTTAGGAGCTGGGGCTGGGAGGTGATTAGCATAGCTTAGCTTTGAAGACTGGAAGCAGGAGCAAAACGCTAGCATGGTTCTATCCTAAGTTCAAAAATAGGCCTATCAACAAATCTAAAACTCACTAATTGTATATCATGTGTTTAACCTGTGCATTAACAGAAAGGTATAATTAACCATTTGTGATTTTAGGGGGAGTTACATAGTGTAGCTATTCATAGTTTTCAGTCATGTGACATGCGCGGTGACCTGGAGGGCAAAACAACAGAGCAAGATAGCGGCCCTTGTGGAGATGCTGCAAAAGCAGTTACATTTTATTTGGATCACCTCTCAACTCAAGAAAAAGATAGAAATGGACACAAACTGCAAGTGTTGGGCGCTTGCAATCCATATACAGTACCCGCTGCCTTGTTTCCGCCGTTTAAAACCCCAGTTCCCTGCCAGCGCTCGTGAAAACTGTGAATTTTTTTGATGAACAACAGTTTATCCATGCCAGCAAGAAATAGTTACAGTATGCATCCTTAAAACCGCACATTGTCACATTTACGTTTCTGTTTGTGGGTACAGATTTAACAAATGCGTTATTAAGTCAGATTTTATGCTAAGCTAGTCTAATCAACTCCCAGCTATAGCTCCATACTTACATACTCCAACACACACACGTGACAGTCATGTCAATCCTTTCATTTAACTCTCGTAAACGAGAGCAATAAAGTGTATTTACCAAAATATCAAATTATTCCTTTAAAATTATAGATGACAATACCTCTTTGCAACTATACATTTCATAAATCAACACTAGATGAAATGACATGTTAAGATAATTGTTTTTTTTATATTTTTGATGTGCATGCTGTCAGGGTGGAGGCAGCTACACCATCAAGCTGCAAAAAATCTGAGACATCAGTCAGGAGTGACAGAGGAGCTAAAGAAAAGGCTCTAAAGGAGGCCTGGTCACTTACCATTACATCCTGCTGCAAGACAACTATGGTTATGGTTTCTGGATTATTGCGTGTGGGGGGCAAGGGAGGCATGGGATTTGCAGGGTGGCATGGTGAGGTCAAGACTTTGGGATATAAAAGAGATAAAGATGGGAATAAGCTTAAAGAGGCCCAGTTTTTTTAGAAGAGCATGGATGGGATCTGGTCTACAGGTTCACACAGGGTCGGTGGGGTTGCAGGGGTTTGGGACCACACACCCTTACCAGTGGGAGACCTCCTGAGGACCCAAATGTCCTGAGTGGGGCTAGCAGGACTATCTGGGGCTGAGAGCTGACTGTCAGGTGGAGCACCTAACAAACACACACACACACACTTTAGACACACACTCACTGTATAGCCCACATACTGTGGCTGGGAGTGGACCTATCAAGCTGACACTGAGCACCAGAGCGCTGGTCGAGAGGAGACTGGGGTCAGGGTGCTGTTTGGGAGGGGAATATGAAACCTGGGACATGGACGGAAATTGAGACAACAGGGGCCTGGGCACAGACATGTAAAAGACCCCCCACCCCTCCTACATAGCAGCAAAACCCCCAGCCTAAAAGTGACACTCTATGTGGTCGTTTTGTGTCTTTGTGGTCATTTTACGTCACTTTGTGTCTCTTTGCATCTATGTGGTCATTTTGCATCTATGTGGTCATTTTGCATCTATGTGGTCATTTTGCGTCTCTATGAGGTCATTTTGCGTCTCTCTGTGGTCATTTTGCGTCTCTTTGTGGTCATTTTATGTCACTTTGTGTCTCTTTGCATCTATGTGGTCATTTTGCATCTATGTGGTCATTTTGCGTCTCTATGAGGTCATTTTGCGTCTCTCTGTGGTCATTTTATGTCACTTTGTGTCTCTTTGCATCTATGTGGTCATTTTGCATCTATGTGGTCATTTTGCGTCTCTATGCGGTCATTTTGCGTCTCTGTGGTTGTTTTATGTCTTTGTGGTCATTACGCGTCACTTTGTGGTCATTTTACATCACTTTGTGTCTCTTTGCATCTATTTGGTAATTTTGCATCGCTATGTGGTCGTTTTGTGTCTCTTTCTGGTCATTTTGCTTCTCTTTGTGGTCGTTTTGCGTCTGTTGTCGTTTTGTGTCTATGTGGTCATTTTGTGTCTCTTTGTGATCACTTGGTGTCTCTTTGTGGTCGTTTTGCGTCTGTTGTCGTTTTGTGTCTATGTGGTCATTTTGCGTCTGTTTGTGATCACTTGCTGTCTCTTTGTGGTCATTTTGTGTCTCTTTGTGGTCATTTTGTGTCTCTTTCTGGTCATTTTGCGTCTCTTTGTGGTCATTTTGTGTCTCTTTGTGATCACTTGCTGTCTCTTTGTGGTAATTTTGTGTCTCTTTGTGGTCATTTTGTGTCTATTTGTGATCACTTGGTGTCTCTTTGTGGTCATTTTGTGTCTCTTTGTGGTAATTTTGTGTCTCTTTGTGGTCATTTTGTGTCTATTTGTGATCACTTGGTGTCTCTTTGTGGTCATTTTGTGTCTCTTTGTGGTCATTTTGTGTCTCTTTCTGGTCATTTTGCGTCTCTTTGTGGTCATTTTGTGTCTCTTTGTGATCACTTGCTGTCTCTTTGTGGTAATTTTGTGTCTCTTTGTGGTCATTTTGTGTCTCTTTGTGGTCATTTTGTGTCTCTTTGTGGTAATTTTGTGTCTCTTTGTGGTAATTTTGTGTCTCTTTGTGATCACTTGCTGTCTCTTTGTGGTAATTTTGTGTCTCTTTGTGGTAATTTTGTGTCTCTTTGTGGTCATTTTGTGTCTCTTTGTGGTAATTTTGCGTCTCTTTGTGGTAATTTTGTGTCTCTTTGTGGTAATTTTGTGTCTCTTTGTGATCACTTGCTGTCTCTTTGTGGTCATTTTGTGTCTCTTTGTGGTCATTTTGTGTCTCTTTGTGATCACTTGGTGTCTCTTTGTGGTCGTTTTGTGTCTCTTTGTGGTAATTTTGCGTCTCTTTGTGGTAATTTTGTGTCTCTTTGTGGTAATTTTGTGTCTCTTTGTGATCACTTGCTGTCTCTTTGTGGTCATTTTGTGTCTCTTTGTGGTCATTTTGTGTCTCTTTGTGATCACTTGCTGTCTCTTTGTGGTCATTTTGTGTCTCTTTGTGGTCATTTTGTGTCTCTTTGTGATCACTTGGTGTCTCTTTGTGGTCGTTTTGTGTCTCTTTCTGGTCATTTTGCTTCTCTTTGTGGTCGTTTTGCGTCTGTTGTCGTTTTGTGTCTATGTGGTCATTTTGTGTCTCTTTGTGATCACTTGCTGTCTCTTTGTGGTCATTTTGTGTCTCTTTGTGGTCATTTTGTGTCTCTTTGTGATCACTTGGTGTCTCTTTGTGGTCGTTTTGCGTCTGTTGTCGTTTTGTGTCTATGTGGTCATTTTGCGTCTGTTTGTGATCACTTGCTGTCTCTTTGTGGTCATTTTGTGTCTCTTTGTGGTCATTTTGTGTCTATTTGTGATCACTTGGTGTCTCTTTGTGGTCATTTTGTGTCTCTTTGTGGTCATTTTGTGTCTCTTTCTGGTCATTTTGCGTCTCTTTGTGGTCATTTTGTGTCTCTTTGTGATCACTTGCTGTCTCTTTGTGGTAATTTTGTGTCTCTTTGTGGTCATTTTGTGTCTCTTTGTGGTAATTTTGCGTCTCTTTGTGGTCATTTTGTGTCTCTTTGTGGTAATTTTGTATCTCTTTGTGGTAATTTTGTGTCTCTTTGTGATCACTTGCTGTCTCTTTGTGGTAATTTTGTGTCTCTTTGTGGTCATTTTGTGTCTCTTTGTGGTCATTTTGCGTCTCTTTGTGGTCATTTTGTGTCTCTTTGTGGTCATTTTGTGTCTCTTTGTGATCACTTGCTGTCTCTTTGTGGTCATTTTGTGTCTCTTTCTGGTCATTTTGCGTCTCTTTGTGGTCATTTTGTGTCTCTTTGTGATCACTTGCTGTCTCTTTGTGGTCATTTTGTGTCTCTTTGTGGTAATTTTGTGTCTCTTTGTGGTCATTTTGTGTCTCTTTGTGATCACTTGCTGTCTCTTTGTGGTCATTTTGTGTCTCTTTGTGGTCATTTTGTGTCTCTTTGTGATCACTTGGTGTCTCTTTGTGGTCATTTTGTGTCTCTTTGTGGTCATTTTGTGTCTCTTTGTGATCACTTGGTGTCTCTTTATGGTCATTTTGTGTCTCTTTGTGATCACTTGGTGTCTCTTTGTGGTCGTTTTGCGTCTGTGGTCGTTTTGTGTCTATGTGGTCATTTTGTGTCTCTTTGTGGTAATTTTGCGTCTCTTTGTGGTCATTTTGTGTCTCTTTGTGGTAATTTTGTGTCTCTTTGTGGTCATTTTGTGTCTCTTTGTGATCACTTGCTGTCTCTTTGTGGTAATTTTGTGTCTCTTTGTGGTAATTTTGCGTCTCTTTGTGGTCATTTTGTGTCTCTTTGTGGTCATTTTGCGTCTCTTTGTGGTAATTTTGTGTCTCTTTGTGATCACTTGCTGTCTCTTTGTGGTAATTTTGTGTCTCTTTGTGATCACTTGCTGTCTCTTTCTGGTCATTTTGCGTCTCTTTGTGGTCATTTTGTGTCTCTTTGTGATCACTTGCTGTCTCTTTGTGGTAATTTTGTGTCTCTTTGTGGTCATTTTGTGTCTCTTTGTGATCACTTGGTGTCTCTTTGTGGTCGTTTTGTGTCTCTTTGTGGTAATTTTGCGTCTCTTTGTGGTAATTTTGTGTCTCTTTGTGGTAATTTTGTGTCTCTTTGTGATCACTTGCTGTCTCTTTGTGATCACTTGGTGTCTCTTTGTGGTCATTTTGTGTCTCTTTGTGATCACTTGGTGTCTCTTTATGGTCATTTTGTGTCTCTTTGTGATCACTTGGTGTCTCTTTGTGGTCATTTTGTGTCTCTTTGTGGTCATTTTGTGTCTCTTTGTGATCACTTGGTGTCTCTTTATGGTCATTTTGTGTCTCTTTGTGATCACTTGGTGTCTCTTTGTGGTCGTTTTGCGTCTGTGGTCGTTTTGTGTCTATGTGGTCATTTTGTGTCTCTTTGTGGTCATTTTGTGTCTCTTTGTGGTCATTTTGTGTCTCTTTGTGATCACTTGGTGTCTCTTTGTGGTCATTTTGTGTCTCTTTGTGGTCATTTTGTGTCTCTTTGTGGTCATTTTGTGTCTCTTTGTGGTCATTTTGTGTCTCTTTGTGATCACTTGGTGTCTCTTTATGGTCATTTTGTGTCTCTTTGTGATCACTTGCTGTCTCTTTGTGGTCATTTTGTGTCTCTTTCTGGTCATTTTGCGTCTCTTTGTGGTCATTTTGTGTCTCTTTGTGATCACTTGCTGTCTCTTTGTGGTCATTTTGTGTCTCTTTGTGATCACTTGCTGTCTCTATGTGGTCATTTTGCGTCATTTGTAGTCTATGTAGTCATTTTGTGTCTCTTTGTGGTCATTTTGCATTTCTTTGTGGTCGTTTTGCGTCTCTTTATGGTCATTTTGTGTCTCTTTGTGGTCATTTTGCATTTCTTTGTGGTCGTTTTGCGTCTCTTTATGGTCATTTTGTGTCTCTATGTGATCGTTTTGCGTCTCTTTATGGTCATTTTGTGTCTCTATGTGATTGTTTTGCATCTCTTTGTGGTCATTTTGCGTCTCTATGTGGTCGTTTTGCATCTATGTAGTCGTTTTGCGTCTCTTTGTGATCACTTGGTGTCTCTTTGTGGTCATTTTGCGTCTCTTTGTGATCACTTGGTGTCTCTTTCTGGTCATTTTGCGTCTCTTTGTGATCACTTGGTGTCTCTTTCTGGTCATTTTGCGTCTCTATGTGCTCGTTTTGCATCTATGTGGTCGTTTTGTGTCTCTTAGTGGTCATTTTGCGTCTCTATGTGGTCATTTTGCGTCATTTGTAGTCTATGTAGTCATTTTGTGTCTCTTTGTGGTCATTTTCCATCTCTTTGTGATCACTTGGTGTCTCTTTGTGGTCATTTTGCGTCTCTTTGTGATCACTTGGTGTCTCTTTGTGGTAATTTTGTTGGTTTTAGTCATTGTCTGCTGTCTCTGTAGTTCATTTTGTTGTATTTATTTAATTGACTTTCCAAATGAAACAGTCACTTCAAACAGAGGCTATGGCCCAGGCCACCCTGGGGCCCTGAGTCCCTGAACCTGTTCCCGGTAGGCTTGTTCAGTAATCCATCCTTGCCTAGGAGGACATGAATGTGTCACAGGTGGTGAACAGAAACCAAACAGATGGGAAGTGTGTGTGTGTGTGTGTGTGTGTGTGTGTGTGCATGTACCTGTGGGATCGTGGCCAAGGGTGTATGAGTCGTCAGTCTGAGGGACGGGGCCGTAGCTTGAGGGGGGAGCTCTGGATGCAAAGTGTTGTCGTTGGCAAGGTATTGAGGCTTGGCGGGAAAGAGTGCCCCCTAGGGTCAGGGAGACAGGTTTGGGTTGATGCTGGCATGCATGAGTGAGGGAAAGAAGTTCATGTGCATGTGTGTGTGTTTGCACAATACAATACCTGTGCAACTACATGCACAGGTATTGGGACAGGCTGTAAGACCGCAACAAACACCTTTTGGAGTCTGGTGAGCACATTATGAACTTAATCATGTATGCTTGTTCTTGGAGTATCTGGAACAACAGCTAAAAAAGGGCAAATTCACTGTAAATCCCCTCTGGTGTTACATAAGAGGCTGCTGAATGGTAGTGTAAGATCACCAGAGACGCTGAGAGGGCTTACTTTTCCTCTGTGTGTTGTTAGTCCACGGTTGCTGACACCATTCACATTATCACAGAGCTCAGGCACAAACACGTGCGCACACACACACTGCTGAGTTTGCCTCACAAGCAAAGAGCCTGTCACCGACTTAAAGTCAAACTCTCTTTCTCTTGTCTCTTCTCCCTCAAGCATGAGCAGACACGCACACACACAAACACACACAGAGCACACAATATCACAACGCAGACTGTGAGGGCTTTAGCACTGAGCTGACACTTTGCAATCTGGCCATAGTAATCCTATTAATGTGTGTCTCTATGTGTGAATAACTATGTTTGTGTGTGTGTGTGTTGCCAGGCTTGTTCGGGACCTAGAAATGAAGTGTTGTAGTTTGTGTGTGTGTGTGTGTGTGTGTGTGTGTGTGTGTGTGTGTGTGTGTGTGTGTGTGTGTATCTATGTCTGTTATTGGACCCCTCTCTGCGCTCGTCCCGCAGTTTGAATGTCAATAGCTTTGCAGCTGCAAAACAAGCATCATATCTGGATCGTATTACTTGTATTCACAGGGATTAAATCAGATGATTTACAAGTATGCTGAAACTCAGTGATCATACCAACATGACAGATCCTGTTTGTGCACTAGTGTCCAGATATATTCTTAGCCCGTATATAACCATTGCCCTGGGTTAAGTTAGCCCTTTTAACCCCCCTCTGTCAGCTTAATCCTCCAGCATGCGAGGTCTAATCTGGCCCTGGGACAAAGTTACCATGGAGTACAATATAGTAAACATTTATTCTTGCTGGACCCCGCATTTGCACCAACCACCCTCTGTGCACTGTGTTTATATCCTGTTGCCACGTTTAGTGCACACAGCAAACATGGCAGCTTCATTATATAACCCAGTATCAACCAGTACTTCTATGCTACAGGAACAGAACCTGGTACCAGGTTTTCTATGTGCTAGTTAGTTTTGATAATTTGATTTAACACATTATTTGGGAGCATGTACTTTACTGGTGCAAATAAACCAAACCTAAACCAATTTGCAAAAGATCAAATTACTAAAACCAATTGACTTGCATAGAACCTAGGACCCATTTGCCATTTGACAATCCATCCTCGACTGTGAGCCCAATGAGAGTGCTTAAAAAGGCTTGAGTAAAGGGAACATTAAGATACTTTACTTGACTCAAGAAAATGCAAAAATTAGGGCTGGGCAAGTTAACACGTTATTATCGCGTAACGCACTGATTAAAGAAGACAATTGTTTTTTCTCATGTTAACATAGTTTTTGTTATTATTATGAAAGTCCGTTGCTCAACCATGGGTCACAGGAGGGGTGGGATGTTGACCAGCCTGCAAACAACCCACCCAAACAAGCAGCGGAGAGAGGCTTCGGCAGACTATGCTGGATGCAGCGTGTGGGAGAAGTAAAACAGTGCTCTGCGAGTACACAGCAGGCACTCTATGGATAGTAACCATGGCAATGGCTTCTGTGCTTTACACAGCTGTTACCTGTTTAACTTTAGTTAAAATTATAGGCTAGTTTTGTGGGGATGCTCTGCCATGCGAATTCCCTCCTGTTGATCTCCTGATAACTATTTAGTAAACAGTAATAGATTCTGGAAACTCAAACAGCGAGGATCAGTCTCTCCTCCAATGATCTGTGCTGCGAGTTGCGTACAAAAAGTTCAAGGCAAATCAACTTGTGTGCGTGAGGCGAGCACAAATGCCATAACGCGCCTTGCTCGAGCACTTCAGCTCACAGACACTTGCTACTGTACGTAGTCTGTTTCTGCTGCTCCCTGATAAAAGAAAAATGTTTCTGCTGATACCTGTTCAGAAAAAAAAACCCAACAGATTTATATATGTTAACCTGTTGCTCAGAAGGTGCCTGTTATGATGTTATGACCGTGGCTCTGGACTCTGATGGGAACTTTTAACAAGCTAGATAAAAGGTAAAGCCCTGGCAGTGGCAAATAGCTTTGGTTTTATATTTGATCTGATTACATTAATGTTTAAGTTGAGATTTACTAGAAATATTTTATTGCTACTGTGTAAAAGGAAAGCTGCTGGTAAAAAACACCTTATTTGTTTAAAGTGTTTGCAAACCACATGTTATTACACTTTTGTGGATACAGCAGTACATTTAAATTAAAAGTGCACAATACACTACTTTAGAATTCATTATTCAATTTCGCAATTAAAATGTTTAATCGTTACCCAGCACTAGCAAAAATACAAGTAAAACTGTGCATTCAAAATTTCATTTAAGTAAAAGAACATTATTATTAGCATTAAAATGTATTTAAGTAAGAAAAGTAAAATGACTGTGCAGGAGGGCCCCTTTCAAATTATGATTGCATTAATTAATACACAGCACGTACTGTAGTAGTACTTGTAGTAGTACTTGTAGTAGTCGAGGTCCGACCAGTTTAAAAAACTTGACATACCTTGAGAAAAAATAAATGTTTTAACTCAAGGCTCACTTGTTGCTATGTTGATCAGCAGATGGACTTTGCAATGTTATTTCAAAAAACAGTGTTTGTCCAGCACACACAAACATAAAAACTAACTGACACACACACTCTTTCTGAAGAAGAAGAAGGCTTTGGAGATCCTGGCTTTTGTAGAGTGAAATTGAGTCTGTAACTCTCTTCTGCTACGTAGCAGACAAAATACATTAATATAAAAGCAATTATAATAATGGTAAACAGAAAAAATCTATATTAACTTATATATTTTATAATATAATAACTATAATATATATATATATATATTTTTTGGGGGGGGTCACACTACTGTTTTCAAAGTAAATAAAAACTTTTATGCTTAACTTTCTATACTGTTGGGTAGTTTTATTCAAAACAATGCATAATTTTTTCAGTTTAGTATGGAAAATCTTAATCTGCTATGTAACTAGTGGCGATAACTGTCAAATAAATGTAGGGGAGTAAAAAGTACAATAGTTCTGCCTAAAATGTGGTGGAGTTAAAAGCAAAAAGGGAAATTTGTGATTGTACATATAAGTACAGTACTTGTACATCACTACTTTTCAGTGTATTTTGAGTTTATGCAGATGTTGTGTGCCAGCTGCTTGTTTGTCTACCTGCTCGTCTGCTGAGGACCTCCACCACTGAAGGGGGGAAGAAGCCCACCCGGTCCGTCCCCCGCTGGGTGTCATGGATGTGACCTTTCCAACGACCGTCTGAGTGCTGCTCCACGACCTGACACCAACAAATCATGGGCATGCTTCAGCTGAAATGTTTGTGTCACTGCAAACAGCATTAGCCTTGCAACAATTCACAATCGCATTAGATCAGCTTGTGGAACAAGCAATCACTAACACATTATTCATTGGTGTGAAAACTGAGAGGTTTGATTAAAGGGGTTTTCCTGCCAAACATTTTCCCTTGTCAACTATATATCAACTCTAAGTATGCATGTCGTGTGTGTGTGACTCCTCAAGGCATGCTTTTAAGACCATAATGAGAGAGCCAATGAGCTGGAAATACACAGTCCATTCATTGTGAGTGTTAACAAAATGCCTAGAGAGGACAAAAACAAACACCTCTGCCTTCTAACAGGGCGCAACAACATACGAGTTCATACAGGAGTCTGGGATGTCACAACGACTCGTATAAAGATATCAAAATACACAGCAGTAAGCACATAAACACACACAAATGTGCACACACATGAATTAGTGCAAACACAGTGTGGGGGGGGGGGAGATGGGCAAACAAGTTGGTAATGAGAGAGAGACCGCAGCAAGTTTGTGCCTGTTTCTCTGCTGTGGTCTCCCGCTCAGGGTACACTAAATTACCCTGCAACATCCCACACACATCCTAACAAGACTTCACTCCCAAACGTCATCATCATATAATCCTTACACTGCCGGTGCACAGGTAGAGAGAAGCAGCTGCCGGCAGGTATCATCAATTTTACAGTAGCTTTGTTCTATGGAAATATAATATGGACTTAGTATTACAGTAATCCATGGCAACAAACATCAACAAAACACTAAAAATCTTCACTTGGGAAGGTGCAGCAAGATATGACTTTAAGTGAGATTTCTTAATCTGAACCATTAAAGGCAATCCACGCCAGCAGTGTTTTTGACACATAAACAACTACACCAGAAACACAGCTAACAAAAGGTAGAAAGAAAAGGAAAGGAAAGTCATTACTTAATTACTAGTTATGACAGCCATTAAAGAGACAAAAACAAATACCATAATAAGTTCTCCAGCCCGGAGGTTGAGAGCGGTTGGGTCGTGGAGGTTCCAGTAGTCCTTCACCGCTCTGACCTGGAGAGAGCTTGATGCTTCTTCACAGAGACATAAACATACAGACACATCATCCGGAGGCACAAAGGGCTCCTTTTTCACCACTGATTTCTATTCTGACCTCTCTCTTTACCATTTAGCAACCTCTCCACCCCCCACTGTTTCCCCTGCCTCAACCAAAAAAATGTCTGAAGAGCCACCAACCTCTCAGCAGCTGTTTGATTTCCCTGCTAGCTGTGGAGGTGGTGAACTGGTTGACAATGTCCAAAGCTGTCTGGTTGTACGTGTTGCGGATGTTCACGTTGATGCCCGCCTAGGCGCACACACATAACACACACACACACACCCCGTGGGATTACTGAGGATGAAATGCTTTCAAAACAAACACTCCCTCAAAATGCCTCCTTCCTTTATTAAAGAATAACACCAGGATTGTAGTGTTAAGTTGTGTTAGTTTTAAACATTGTCTTTCCATCTACACCATCAACACAGAAACATCAGAGTCAGCCTTCAAAATCCCATATCAGCTGAACTGAAATTATATTTATGTAATCTTTGCTTACATCGAGCAGTAGTCGCACAACTTCGGTTTTGCCGTAGAGGGCAGCCTCGTGCAGAGACGTCCCCGCTTTGGTGGCTCTGTTGATGTCAATACCGGCTTTGAGCAGCAACCTAGGAAATCAAAGCACAAACACTCATGTAAAGCCGCAGGCAACACTCAGACACAGATTCATCTATTCGACTGTTACAGACATCTGCAACATCTCATTAAGCCATATACCCCCCACTCATCCACCCACACACACACACGAGCTAACAAAAATGTATCTGGTTCTGTCAGAGGCCCAAATGTAGGAATACAAATGGCATCGTATCCAGAGAGGAGGAGGTGGAGGAGGTCCTCAGCTTGCTATGTGAAGGTTGATACAAGTTTTGCAAGAAGTAAACAACACTGAATCACTGCTGTAGGATATTAGCTGGATTAATGTGCATGGTGTTTTCTAAATGTTTACCCACTCCAAGCACATTCTTGCCACCGGGTGGATGCTACACTTTTGCATCTGCTCCCTTTGTTGTACACCATGTTTCCATTCAACTGTCAAACTAGTTAGGGTTCGAGTAAACAGTGTAAGTACCAGTTGGAAATGATTGAGTTTAACACATACTTTACAGAAAACCCTTCAGCAAGCTCAAAGACAGTTTTCAATTTTTTTTTCGCGTGAGACTGTACAACGGAGCATTAAAGCTGCAAAACTGATTTTAAAAATAAAGCTGCGATAGAGAAAAAAACATAAGAATATTTTACGAATAATGTGCTTCTTTTGAGGAAAAAAATGATGAATAATGTCATAATTTTACAAGACAAAGTCATAAAGTTGTTAAAATAATATATATGATGAGCTGTAAACACTGACACATTGATACGTATTAAAATATTAGAATACACAAGCTTTTTTCCCTGAGAATAGTAAAATAACATTAAATTACTTACTTAAATAAGTAGTATTAAAACAAACATGTATTTTTTCTTATTATACACCCATATTATGACTTTTTCATATAAATTACATTTTGGTTTCGTTATAAGAGGAAGTCCTCATTTTTAAAATAAAAACACATAAAATTTAAATGTTACAACTTTACACTTCAAATATGACAATACTCTTACAACTTTCTCTAAGAAAAAGCCAAACCGTTATAAGAATAAATTACAATTACAATTACAACAAGAAACAAACAAACAAACAAAATCTCCTCTAACCTAATCTTTTTTCTCAAAAATTCTAGCTCTAATCACAAAAATGTCTTTCTTGACAGTGGCCTTGACTGAAAGATTCCTTGAACTACTACAGAAACAATTGTGTTTAAATCTGCGAATAAAATTAACCATTTGCAAAGAATAACTCTGCCTTTGGCTTGAGCTGACTGTGTGTAAAAAGCTTAATGGTGAATGTGAATGTTGCTGACGAACACTCTTGACTTGACGGGATCACACTAAGTGGGACACCACAGGGGGGTTGGGCAGACGGCAGAAATACCAAAGCATGCAGTGTACTCTGATTGAAAAAAGGAGCCTAAAAGCAAACTGTTTGAAACCTTCACCTCCTTCCTTTCCTCAGAATCAGTTTTAATCTGGCTGTGAAACCTTGAGACGGCTGAATGTCTGAAAACTCCCACAAAGCTCAGACTCTGTCCTGCAGATAAGCAGTTGGTTTACTCTCATATACGCTACATAAACTGCACTGCATGTATACATATACAGAATATGTTAGGCCAAAGGTTCTCAACATGGGGTCTCCTACAGTTTCGAGGATCAAATTTCATTAAGAATGATCCTAATCAGAGATATTTTTAATCACAATTTCTACTGTTCCTACATCTTCCTACATATGTACTGTGAATGTCATCTTCCCCAGGACAAAATTTTATCTCCTGGTTGTCTGTGTGCAAATGTTTGCAGCTCCAGTTCTAACCAGACCTAGAAATCTTCTCCAGCTATACAAAAAAGTAGGTACTGTGAGACGACTGCTGTGTAAGTGTGGCAGTCTTTCAAGAGACACAAATCCCTTACTGGGAGATCACAGCCAAATTCTGCTGAGTAAACTCTGAATAAACTTCTCTGCTAATGCAGAGAAAACTCTTTATTTCTGTTTGTTTTGAAAGCTCGTCTCTTCTCCTACTATCTCCTACTATTCAACTTTCCAGTTCAGGAAAAGGAGAGAGGAGGATGGAGAGAGTATTGCAAAAGAGATCTAATCATTGGGATGGGAATCGTTAGCAGCATGTCTCAGAGGCAGGGTGGAGTCACTTGGCTAAGTGCAAACATATTTACACAGATATGCATAAAAAACACATTGAGACACTCTAGGGAGTCTGACAAGTGTAAGTATCACTACAATATTGAGTGTGCTCTTTTTGAATGTGGAGATTGTTACTGGTTTTGCTTTCTGGAGCTACCTTAGGGGAAATATTTAGCACCTGCAGCTGAATTAAGGACTGACACCTACAGTATATGGTTTCCTGTGTAGTGTCAGCGTCGTGGAGTGGAGTAATAGCAGTAGTAATTGTAACATTTGTAGCACAAGCTTTATTGTCAGTAGTTGTGGCAGTGGCAGTAAAGTAGCAGCAACACTAGTAGTAGCACAGACGGCCCTAGTAATGGAGTCAGTGGTAGTAAAAATTGTTGTTGTTGTAGTAGAACATGAAGTGGTTTAAGTGACATTAGTAGCAGTGGCATCACTAGCAGCAGTTGTTGTAGGAGGTGCTGTTGTTTTGGTAGTTCACCAATAGTGGTACTATTAGCATTAGTAGTAGATGTTGTGGCAGCAGTATTTGTAGTAGTAGAAGCAGCTGTGGTAGCAACATTAGTTATAGTGTTACAAACAGTAACAGTGGTAGAATTAGCAGTAGCAGAGGTTGTAGAAGCTGTAATAGAAATAGTCTAGTAGCAGTAGCTGGCATCCGCTTTCGTTTCAGATGGGACGAGGGGGTTTCTCGAGCTGCCATTGTTTAAACTCCACTCCCTGCCAACAGACCCGCCCTTATCTGACACAGATTGGCCCTGAACCTGACGGTATTAACCAAACAATGGCAGTGAGTATTACCCAATCACAGAATGCAGGTGGGATCATTTGCATGGGGTGCTGCATTAAAGAAACCCATAAATACGGGACAAACCACGTTGCGTATTGATTCAAGACGGAATATGTGCTATTTAGTTCTCAAATACGGTAGTAGTGGATGTCGTATTAGCAGTAGCAACGAACGGTAGCAGCAGTAACAGCAGTAGTAGTGGTAGAGTCTAGTCGTGGTAATGAGTGCAGTCTTCCTAATAGTGGTAGTAGTTGCAGTAATATTAGTGGTACAGAAGCAGGAGTAGTAGTATCGGCAGTTATTGTAGTAGTAGCAATAATAGTTACTATAGTATCAGTGATAGCAACAGAGTAGTATTTATAGTGGTACTATTAGTAATGCTCGTAGTTGCAGTAGCTGTACCAGAGGTTGTAGCGGCTGTAATAGTAATAGTAGTAGTACCTAGCCCTAGTAGTGATGATAGTGGTAGTAGCACTAAAACATAGTTGTAGTTGTACTGCAGAAGTAGCATTAGCAGCACCAGCAGCAGTAGTGGTACTCGTAGTAGCAGTAGTAGTAGCAGTAGCCGAAGTAGCAGTAGTTATGGTGGTACAAATAGTAATAGCGGTGGTAGCAGCTTTAACAGTAGCAAAGGTTGTAATAGTAGAAATAGCAGTACTCGCACAAATAGCATTAGCAGGTGCTGAGGCAGCAGTGATACTAGCAGCTGTAACATTAGTGAAAGTGAGTAAGAGTAGCAGTGTCAATATTACTAGATGATGTAGGAGAAGTAGTAGAAGCCATAACAGTAGTGGTATTTGTAATTCTTGCAGTGGCAGAAGCAGTAAAATAACAGTAGCAGTAGAAGTAGCATTAGCATCTATTACAGTATATTTCAGCACTGCTCCTAGCTGGGATCTTACTTGATGATGTCTTTGTGTCCATTCCTGGCTGCCAGGTGGAGGGGGGTGGTGGACGGAGATTCCATGCTGTCTTGCCCTCCCTCCCCTTCTAACAGCGCTGTCACCATGTTACTGCTGAGCAGCAACTGAGCCACCTGAAGAGAAATCAAAGACACCAAAATGAAAATGAAGTGTGGGCTGTGAGAACAGAAGAGTGGCAGAATCAGGGCAAGAATTACAGCTTAGTGATACTTACATACATACTGTACACGCATATGCAAAGCCAAGCTAGTATAGCTAATATATAGGTTGAAATAATGTATATGGTGACTTATATTTAGGGTCAAGTTAGTACATGGAGGCTTATCCACTACTCAGCAGCTGTCTAAAGATACCACAGCCTCCACTCACACACACTGACAAAGTCTGTGTGTCACAAAAACAGCCCAAAGCCTTCTATTCTTTCACAGCTAAACTGCAAACTCAGACCAGACACGAGAACATTAACAGGCATAGGAAGTGTGTGTTGGTCTAATTCTGAATTACAGGGCCAGCTATACATCTCACAGCCAAGCTTATCCACAGATGTGACAGAGAAACAGTCAAACACACTGCAATGTGCTATCCCTTTAACGTTACAGTGTGCGTGTGTCCAAAAAGAGCCTATTTGCCTTTCGCTCAAACAAGCTTAATTTAGTTGCCATGGTTCGTGTTTGACATAGGCCATCCCCAAAAAGGGCAAAGGGGCCAAATAGGATGTTTTCAAATGCAAATAATTGGATTAGAATGACTACATGAATGAAACACTACATGGAGGTTTAGCCTTTCGGTTTCTCAATGAAAAGACTGTAAAAAGAGCAGAAGTCATCACATGGCCCTCCATCAGCACCAGAGCAGTGATCTGTATGTCATGGTCTTTGGGTTTGTTGATAAGTCTTCTTCTCGTGTCTTTGGGATTTAACTTCCTGTGTTTCTGTGGCCTCGTCTCTCTGTTGTGTTTTCCTTATGTCTTTTTGTTAATTCGTTCTCTTTCCTGTTTGACTTTGAAGTTTTTCTGCCCTTGGTGTTGTGGTCTTGTTTCACTTCCGGTTTCAGTGTCACTGACTGTCTGTTTCACCCGTTAACTGTTAAAAAATCATGTGATTAATCACGATTAAAAATTTTAATAGTTGCCCAGCACTAATTATAATTCGTCCAATACTTTATGACGGAATCTCTTCTAAATTAATTACATTGCAATCATCATTAGCAGCAGCCTACTTTATATTAAGGTATAATTAACAAACATGCTAAACTAAGATGATGACCATGGTACAATCTGCAACATCAACACATTGTCATTCTGAGCACGTTAGTATGCTGTTGTTAGCATTTAGCTAAAAGCACTGTTGTGCCAAAGTACAGCCTCACAATGCTGCTAGCATGGCTGTAGACTCTTAGTCTTGTTTTACCTCTCAAATATCAATATTAGCCTCGAAAATCTGACTAATAATGACAATTTATTTGACTCATTGTGTCACTATCATCAGTTATACTAAACTGTGCCTCAATCATTGTCATCAAACATCAGAAAGGTAATCAGTCATGATATACTTCATGGCACAAATATCAAACAGAGTTTACAAATTGTAAACAGCAGAATAAATACAATACGATTGAGTACGCAATGTGACTTTGATCAGCATACTTTAAATTGCCAGGTCTGTTGCTTGCAAAAAAAAAACATTCACACTTAGTTAAACTAACTACTACCAGTGTAATGGTAACGTTGTGTACAAAATTTGGTCTATAATCTTATTTTTCATTTTCCACTTTACCACACAGTATATCACACCGGGCTCACTCTAGGAAACCTTGTGTATATATGGGTTTAACTATGTCGGAGGTATCAACTGTCTGTCAATTTATATTATGAATACCAGTTTATGTGTGGGGAATGCATGTTTTTTTGTGCATACGCGCTGTTTATACATCTGTGGGTTTTGAAGTCTAGTACTAATATTTTTGTATTGAGGAGGCTTATGACAGCAGTAATGACAATGGGTCAAATACATCACGCCAAAGGTGGATGATACTCAATGCTCAAATGTATTTTTGAAAAAATATTCATATATTTTGGTGTCACACACTTATGTGTATGAAAATTACACACAACTATTCTCATACCTTGAGTCTCCCAAACTCGCAGGCCAGATCTAGAGGAGTCTTGTTTGCCTTGTTCTTCAGGCAGGGGTTAGACTGGTGCTGCAACAACATCTCAGACTGAGAGAGAAAGGGAGAAAGGACGATGTAAGTGATATCACCTCATGTATAATGCACAAGCACTCACACGCCAGTCTTCCCAACACATTCTGTGTGTGTTGATGTTTTGTCTTTGAAGAGGAGAGGAACATATGATAGCTCCAGCACAGCCTTTGTTCAGGACTGTCAGTATTGTGTTTGATGATGTAGAACTAAAGAGGTCATGCCTTGATATAGGTAAACGACAGGTTATGGGTGTGTGTGTGTGTGTGTCCGTGATATGTGTACCTATTCATTAAAACATTCCATGAGTTGAACAGATGACGCTGGAAGATAAGAATGTGTGCGTTCACTGAAATTTACTCTTGAAAAACCTGTGTCATGGCATTAATGGTATTACCGGTATTGTTGGTGGACAATACAAGCTGACACACAAAGTGGGTGGATTTCAGTGAAATGGAGAGGACCCATAATGCCTTGGAACTTTGCCTTTGGCGGCTGAGGTGTCCTTGGATGAGTGTACTCACCACCTCGTAGTGTCCATATTGAGCAGAGAGATGTAACGGTATCTGTCCGTCATGGGAAGGGGAGTTGACTGAAGCTCCAGCTCTCAGCAACAATAAGACAGAGTCTGCTTTACCCTGCCATGCTGCGTAGTGGAGGGGACGCATGCCTAGAGACAGAAACACAAGTGAGGGATGGAGCTGATAAGATGGGAAGGAAAAGGCAGTGAGATGTGCATTGGAGAAATACGTCTGTCTCTCGCAAGTCAGTCAACTTCATGGAAGGTAACACTAAATCACTGGAGTGCCCCGTTAAAGTGTAAGGCAGGCGTTATTCTATATTTTTCTTAGCGTCAACAAATCCCATGAAAGGACCAAAACCAACCATTTTTCAGACTTCGGCACTCAGCCCCAAGCCCATTGGTTCCTACTGAAGACCTAAATCTTTAAAGCAGCATTAATGATTTTTTATGGCCACCTGGGGCAGCAAAACAAGCTGTAAATACACTGCTGACAAATCATCCCCTTAAAATGTGTTTGCACAGATAAACAATAGCAGTGATTTGAAATTACGTTTCTGGCAACACATGTAAGTCCAATATTACTAGCAAAACACCCTGTAAAGATGAGGGGAACTGCAAAGTTGGTTGAAAAATCTCTACGGGTTCACTCACTGCAAGCAACACAGCTTTGTTTTGCTGCATTGTTGATATAAAAGACTACTGATTAGTGCAGCTTAAAAAAAAAAAAAATTAAAAATGGGAATGAGTCAAAATAAACTACATGTTAATGAAGGAAGATGTCACCCAGTTCAATAGTGCTGCTCATCAATGTGTTTTTATCAGTTCCTGGACATCAATGGAGCTCTATGGCACAGAGGAATAAAATATAATATGTTTTGGATTCACACACACAATACTTGTTATTAGGTCTCATTCATTGTTGGTTTTGGTATGTGGACAGGATTTGTTAACAATAACAAAAATATGGAATATCACAAGCTAATATAGGTGACATACTGTATCTGGCAAACATTTGGACAGATCTAAACTGAAAAGAGCCTGTATTTCTCAGTGAATGTGCTTTTATGTGGCTGTAGCTCTCTGGGCTGATAGACAGAAACGCAAACACGCTGTGAATGTGCACACCTAACAACCAATCACTGATCCTCATTGTTTGTCTAGGGAACGCCTTCTTCCTTGTGTTTGTTCTTAAAGATTTAACTTGAATCTTTGTGTACATCACACTTCAGTTCCACAGTCTAAAAACAGCCAACATCAAATGCTTTGAAATTAGAGGTTGATGGGATGACAGCAGCTTCAATAATATGAATAGCTAATGATGAAGCTTGTTAGGGTCAAGTGAGTTTAGCTTTACATTTTAAAAAATTGTATATAGTATAAGTACTTACATTATGATGTCATGAATATGCAAATTAGCATGTGACATAATCTGGCGACATCTAGCTCATTTTTGAGATGATTGTCTCAAGATTTGTGTCACAAACACCTGTGCATTCTTTGTCTGATACATCAGCACCAGCAGAGTCTTCACATGTGTCATAGGGTGATGAGCAACAATACTTCAGGATACCACACTGACCTTTCTACCTGCATTGATACGCTTCAATAGGGATGCAACGATTACAGATTTTGTTGGTACGATCATAGTCTCAGGAATAATCACGGTTTCACGATTATCATGATTATTATGCATTAATTAATTTCACAACACTAGTAATGACTTATGTTGATTTTTAATATTTAATGACAATAACAATTGATATAATATAATAAGTATTATTAATATAAGAGGAATATTAACTTAATTTATCCCCCAGGGGAAATTGTTATAACCTGAACTTGTCATCAACTCTCATCCATACATTCAAGTTTTAGAGAAAAAAAAAAAAAACTGAGAACATCTCTCATGCAGTGTTATTAATAACTGAAATGCAGCTAATTGGTATAGTCCTGGAAGTCTGTAAGCTCCTGATGTCAGTGTTTTACATCTGGCAATATTTTCTCAACACAGACTGGAGGAGGCAACAGGATGTAACGGTAAATGTTCAGTCAATAAGGTCTTGAGAGGGCTACGTCCTTCCATAAAGGCCCTTTCAGAAAAGAAGCGATTTGCACTGCCCTGAAAGCTGGGGTCAGTGCAAAAGTTCAGCTACTTTAACAGTGGCGTGCGCGCGAGCTCGGCGTGCAGTGCGTGTTGCTCGACGCAGCAACAAACCTCCGTGGTGTGGCAAATGACATTGAAAATAATGGGTTTCATAGTGCGGCTGCGCTGTCGTTGCGGTGGGTCTGAAAGGTTACATGCTGCTTTGTTTGTTTACGTTGCACTGAAAGCTCGACCCTCACCGCTACACTTTTATATTTAAGTACTTGGGCGTGCAAAGCTGAGTGGTGATCCCACAGGTGCAGCATCAAGTTTAATGTAGTTATTCGCTCCGTTAGCAGCAACCTATTAGCAAGTTTCTGAGCAGGTGATCCGTCACCTCTTAAATAATGCCCTGGTCAGTCTTGGTGCACACGAAATGCTCCCACAATGCCGACTTCAGACGTTTCATTGGCGGGAAGCTTCACAGTTTGGTCCCTCTGCCTTAACCAGTGAACAGTAGTAGCCACCACGTCTCTGGTAAGCACGGCACTTTAAGCTGGTGCACCGTTTTGTACAAGTTGCAACAGTTTCTTTCCCTGCAACAGAAACACTTGGTGTAGCGGACGATTAATTAACTGTGACATTTTAAAATGCAGGTAATAGTGAAATCCGGTAATCGCTGCATCCCTATGCTTCAATGCGGCATTTTGTTGCATTTGCTGTCCAAATCACCGCTGACTGGCATACGTTTACTAGTTCTTCTGTCTGTGCAATGGGCGTCAAATGACTTGACATTGCATGATGCTGCCTGTGTGTCTTTTACTTAGCATGCACGAGACCCTGGATTTCAAAACTGACAAGCTGGCAAGAAACACCAAAAGGTAAATTCAACCTTCAAAAATGGTCCTTCATAAATCTATAGCTAACCTCAGAGGCGTCACACATGGTTATGAGAGCTACACGCCTCTGGTCTCAGCAGCCGAGCTGCCACTCCCGCACAAATTCAACTACATCTGTTCCGCTTGCAGATATTTTCTATGGCACTGCTGTCACTGCATGGCAGACAAACTTCAAAGTGAATCATATTTATTCATATGGGTCAAACATATTTTCAGCTGAGTGTCAGAAAGCTCTTGAGGAAGTTCCAGGCGCAATTTAACCCCAACTGACTTCCCGAGCTTTAACATTTTGCTTTCTAAGTTGTGGGTTTGTCTGGTGTCACTGGTTCAGCTGGTAAAGCTGTTCTGCCATCATGATACCGTTGATGTCCTTGATATCCACCGTGGCCTGGGCCTCCAGCAGCAGAGACAGCAGCTCGGTGGTGCCCGTGAGAGCGGCATGGTGCAGCGCGGAGAAGCTGTGGGCGAGAGAGGAAGTCGGAGGGGGGAGAGGGAGGGGTCAAGGGTGAGGAGATGAGAGGGGTTATAAATCACACTGATGAATTTACAGCAGGTGAGCCCTTTTCAAAACTCCAGACGGAGATGATGTGTGTTTTTTGTGCGTGTGTGTGCTCTCATCAAAGATTCAGACCGATATATGTGAAATTGTGTGTGTGTGTGTATGATCCCATTTAGTGTGTATCCCCATCCACCCATCAACAAGTCAGACTAAGAAGACGAGTGTGTGTGTGTTTTTGTGAATCTGTTGAGTGTGTGTATATGCAGTCTGTCATCACAACTATAGGCTAAGAAGCAATGTGTGCGTGTGTGTGCCCCCATATCAAAACTGCAGCTTGAGATAAGGATCATCTGTGTGTGTGTGTGTGTGTGTGTGTTCATCAAAGCTTCAGAGATGAAATGTGTGTATTTGTCTCTGGGTGTCTGTCAGTTCGCAGTATATTCCACAGAGGGAAAAATTAAAGGCATAAATTCTTGGCGACGAGTTTTGCTTTCGCTTAGGGCGACAGAGTGTTCCAGAAGAGGTGACCCTCCGAGACAGCAAGCAGGACCCGAGCTGGAACACACTCCGCACATGTGGGGATACATTAACAGCTATAGTACAGAGGGCTTTCAGGTGATTTCACACAGCCTCAGGCAGTCATAGTAGGAGCCCTCAGCTCTCGGGGCACCAGTGGCCATAAACAGCCTGGATACATTTGGAAAGAGAACTGTAGCTTTCTCAACATGCTACACTGTGGAGTTTTAAGTGTTGTTTTGGTTTTTTTAGCAAAAACACACCAAGGCCTAACAAATATGCTGACTCCATACTCCTCCTCATATTTACTTTCCATTTTTGCCAACTGTCCATCATGTGCTAAAGTAAAATTTCACAGCTGTATTGTAAGCTCAGGTCACATGGGAGCTAACCTTAACCCATTTTGCCTCTGTTTTTTTACATTTTGTCAGCAGTCTGAGGGAAGCCTCCTGTTGTTAACGCAATAGTAATTATGAGCTTGTTGTATCACAAAGCAAGATTAGTGAGTTAGCCAGCTAACTTGGACTTGAGTCAACCTTTGCTCACTTTCTCCAGGGTTAAACAATGCATGCTGAACGTCAAAACTGCTTCAGTGTAGGTTCGAAAAGCAGTGTTCATTTGTTTAATCCGTAGATAAACAATTTGTGGTTTTAGGGGAACAACTTCTTGAACGGTTTATCCATTCGCCGCATGCTTCTATGCAGCATGATAGCAAGTGTTGCCAGCTACGAAGGACATGGAAAGGAAGGAAGGAAAGGAAAACATTGAAACCTCACTGTGACAACAAGATTCCTGGAAGCTGTGCAGTCACTACGCTCACCGGTTTGTTAAGAATTAGTTCCAGCACATATGTACCTCTAAACCAACAAACTGAAGTTTTTATATTTCTGTATGTGTTCTTTCACATTAGACAGAGCAACCTTTTCCCCCCGTCCCCCGCCCCCACTTGCAGCCTCTCTGTTAAGCTAGGCTAACTGCATCTCGTCTGTATAGGCTTTGTATTTAATTAGGCCTATTAAACAACTCCCAGATTTTATTTAAAGCCCTAGCCTATGTTATTTCTATGTTTTCATGTCCTCATTCTATTCTAGTGAGGATGTATTTTACTTTGATAAATAAATCTTTATGCTGTTGCAATAAATACTCAAGAACTCTACCTCTTATATATGAACACGCTCATAGATGTGCTGGTAAACCTACAGTTGACACACCAGTGGCCTGGACTACGAAGCGAGGTGAAATGTGGAAATTCCCATAAATTAAAGTCACAATGAAAATCCAAATCACTCTGGTGTTTTCATTTGAATATGCCCAATTCACGGCAAAGTCTCTAAAGTCCCAATGCTGTTGATAATATGGTGACTGCAGGCTGAAATCACAAGTATTTCCTCATTGCTTAATCCGACTGCAAAGTATAATTTTCCACTGCATGCATAACACACTGCAGAGGGTGTGTGTGATGTTGCAGCCTTGCAAAGTGAAGCGATGTGGTTCCTTGAAAAAAAAACACTATTTTTCTGAGAATTTCTCTCATAAATGTTTGACTACAATGTGAGAGAATATTCAAGTTTTTAACTTGTAGATTTGTGATTACTAGTTTCTAGTTAATCTACCACATTAATCTGCCAATCTCCCTCAGCTCCATTTTTTTATTACAATAGACACAATATGCAGTTGTACCTTTACATCTTAATCATATTAGACATAAAAGAAGAATCCATATACAAAATAGAGAATTAGCTTACAATAAGAACACTGTGAAGATAATTACAAATTTACTCAATGCAATGCCAACAAGCCTCCCTGGCTTTACTTGCTGCAACACTATTAGATTTAGCCGCTAATGTGTCAATCAACCTGCATTCCTCTGGGGAAAATAAAGCGCATGCACTGATGTAAAAAACTCTGCCTGCTCGGCCGAACAAGCCCCTTTTATGTGAACACGCACCAACACCAATTAAGTTAACACCGACTCAATTAACCAACATCTTATTCTCTGTCGTACCGTTTAACACCAGTGTAGGCAGTCAGACTTTGTCAACCCTGACTTTCCTTGATTACCCCTAATTAAATGTGAGTAGGTTAAACTTCCTTCGTAGTACGGGCCTCAGGTGATGATCAGCTTTGTGATGCGTATCTGGGATCAGCAATGTCAGATTAGTTAAGCTAATAGACATAAAGCTCTACTGGGGCACAGACCCCCTCATTCCCCATGTAAATTTTAAATTTTGATCTATTTTTGATTGAAGTGTATGAAATGTGTTAGTATGTGCCTCACCAGCTTGCCTAGCCCATTAATATTGGCACTGTCATGTCAGAAAGGGCTTTGACCGGAGAATAAGCACACACACCTATGGTACCACCTAAGAAAAATTCTGCTATGGGGGCCCTCATACCTGACTTGTGAGCCATGTAAATAATCTGAGCTGCTTGTATCTGATGCTGCCTGTAGAACCCTGGCTGTGCTTTTACTGGCTGAGGCTGCCTGTATTTCACCTGGGTCTGTGTGACCTGCTAAAAACGTCTGGACTGTGTCTGTGCTAGTACTGGATTTGGATCAGCTGTGCTTGTACTGGCTTATGATCCATCTTCTAGTCTACTGACAAACTTATTATGAAGTTTAGACGTCAGTCTGTGCTGATATGAAATCTGAGGCATCTCCAGACGGTGAAGTCGCTTATCTTATCAGTGTCATCGTTTATACACACATCCATTTACATTCTACCAGCACATACTGTGTCCGTTTACTGAGTCACTTAAAGCCATTTTCTACACACACAGACACACACACACACACACACACACACACTCTGTCTCAGTCTGCCCCTCTGGGATGGTGTTGACTCAGTAACAAGTGACTGTTTGCTCACCGTCCCCTGTCCTCTTCATTCCCTCTGCACAGATCTCATATATCACAGGTAACAGCTTCCTCTGTCCCAAACACACACCCTCATGGATGGACATGTTTTATTTCAACACTATTGTGTATCACCTCCCACACACTGTATAGACCCTGCATGTAGATACACGTAGTAGACCTAAGTCAACACACACACACGCGCACAGCTAAACATGCATAGTGGCTTGCAGAGGGGGATCCTTTGCATGTTGATGGCCTATTTTGATGGTTTGATGGTTAAGAACAAAGACTTAACAGAGACAGTGAAACAAAAAAAACATCTCAATCTAGGGAGGGCCCAATTTCAAGCAGTCACAAGTGGGAACAAAGAAAAAGTATTGTCACTTAATAATACCAAGTATTCAAGTATAAGTAAATATAATTCAAATAACTGCAGTGACAAATTTTTAAAAAAATCGACTAAAAAACTACTTCTAAACTGAGTGGGATGAAAAAAGAAAAAAAAATCTTGTGCATCTCACGGTCTATCAACCTATAATTTGAATGAATACAGGCCTGTATTTGGGAACAGACTGGCGATTCTCTAAATCTTCATCATGAATCACTAGAACTTGAGAATGCTGACTTTTTGCCTGGGCAAGGCTTCAATCTTTTAGCATCGTATGATGTATGTAGCCATTAAGTGCTAATTTAACCTTTCCACATGGTTCTTGTTCTAAAACAAGTCTGCTGGAGATGACTGATGGAACTTTCGTTAGATTAACTAGCTAGCTAGCAACACATGTGTTTTTCAAACAGAAAAATCAAGGACCAATTGTTTCAAACCGTCTAGATACAAACGGGCAAGGGTGCGGTTTATATTTGCTGCCTTAACCCCTAGACAACTGTAAACTGCATATGAGCAGAAAGCTTGACAGGTGTAGGTAGCAACAGTAACCAGCAGAGTAGGGCGGGTCAGTCAGAAACCGGCAAACACGGCTTTGGTTCAGCTGTACATATTCCCCTTACCAGCTTAGCAACGTGCACTGGAGCAAGAGTTTCAGAGTGGTGAGTTATTAATCTGTAACAAATGTATCTTGCATTCATAAAGTTAGAAATGAGCTCTGTCTCTACATCACAGGAACAACTTTATGTCCACTGACTGCCAGAAGGGTAGCTAGTGTTTGGAAGGGAGAGGAGAGGCAGCAGGTGGACATCTTGTCATTGTGTGCTGCAGTTCATTGTGGTTTTCCACCGGTGTTTTTGAGGGCATGTCTGACTAGCCGCTAGGCGAGCATTATGACGCGTAATTCAGGGATACTTGTAGCTTGTTGCTACGTACCTCTGGAATCTAACTGAATATGTACCACAGAATTAAGCGCTCTTCTTTACTCAAATTCTTAACTTTTGACTTTTGATGAGTTGTCACATATAAAAGGCAAATTCTTGCTTCTGACTAAACAAACTCTGTCTCTGATGGTAAGATAATACCTCTGAAGGGCACAGAACATGTGTGCGATTTGGTTATGAGTCATGGAGATGACTGAAGACAAACAGCAGGCAGCCACAGGTAGGGCATTGTTTTTATCTGCATGTCAATCAAGACACAGTGACTCTTCCATTGCATTCTTTTGACTCAGATTCATGCGTATCTCACCGACCAACACACACACAAGCACATACACACACTCCTCTTACCCATCTGAGTCTTGGTAGTTGATGTTGAGTTTCTTGGTGGAGCCCAGCAACTCTGGAAAAAGACAGACAGGGGAGACAGGAGAGGGAGGGGTTGGAAAAACACTATTAGTATTTGGTGTATTTTTTCTTTTCACCAGTGCTCTTCAGAAATGCCTCCATTCCTGCAGGATGCTGTGTGTTTTTTTCCCCTGTACTTCTCCCCGTCATCAGTCCTTCCTTCAAACAGCTTGACAGCCCCGACAGAACGGGGAGCTTTCCTCACCTCCTGCTGCCTCACCCTTTCCTCTCTCAGTGAGTCTGACACCCTCATGGCAACCAAATGATTCATAAACAAATGATTCTGCCTTGCAGAAATGTACCATTCCACCTCATTTACACTGCTATCTTATCACAGCTCTTTGGAATTGAGAGTGACAACCCTAAAACATAAGCATGCCAGGATGAAACCCACATATATTTATTTTTCCACAGCAGCGCACAAAAATAGCAGCAAAAAGTCCGTTAGCAAGACAGAACAAGTTTGTCTTTCACTCACCTTGGAACAGACAGACTGCTACTTGTCCCATGTCTTACTCATTCACTCTAACGTACTGTAGTCTACTCATCTATTCTCTTTCACTAGCTCTGAAAAAAACAAATTCACAACTAATGTGATGGAGACACAAATTCAATATTTTCTATGAATTTAAAAACGACTGTTCACAATGTCTCGAATTGAATACCAGTTGCACTGAACTGGTTGACAAACTGGTCGCAGCAGTTACATAATGGAAAAACGTCCCTCACGAATCTCAAGAGACAGCTAAAAAGCTATGCAAGGTTTGCAACAGAAGCAAAACTTGTATTGTAACAACACTAACTTTTTCCTCATCTACATGTAAAATCCTCTTTCGTGCCATTTGGGTCCAATCAAATCTGGTCATCATCCTAATGCTCTACTCAACCTTCAAAGCCTCAATTATATCAAAAACTAGACTTCCAGAATTCCAATATCATGCATCTATCTCCATCTCATACGTCCATCACCAGCCTCTAATGAGGGCTGGAAACTCCTCATACAACTAAATATCCTCGGACGTCCTACAGCAGAGATTTACTGTAAAGGCCCTACTGTCCACCAAGACCCACACAGGAACCGGACTGCCAAGGCCTCTGAATACAGAGCCATTCATCACACTGTTTTCTCCCACCTAGGTGTGGAAAATCTCATAAGTGTGTGTGTATGTATGTGGGACAGAGAGCGACAGGAAGAGAAAGCAAAGTAAAGTTGCCGAGATTCTTTCATATAACTGGCAACTGTCTCTGACACCACCAGTACAGGTTAGTGCTGAAGCGACTGGTCAGTTAAACGTGTAGTTTGATTGACAGATCCTTAATAACCGATATAGTTTATTAACATGTTCCGGTGCTTTCCTCTGTTCTATATCATTGTAATTGGAATCACTCTCAGATTTGAAAACAATACTTTTGTGCTCTGGAAAGTGATAATGGACTTATTTCAGTGTTTTCTGACATTTTAAAGACTACATAAGTTCAGGAAAAACTAATCAGCAGATAAATAAATAATGAACAATTGTTTGTTTTTAGTAGTTGAATGGTCGTGGTGTAGTAGGAAAATGGTAAAGCAAGACAATATGGTTAAACATTAAGATAAACAGGAAGCAAAGCAAATAAAAGGACCAAATAAGATCGATAGCAAAAATCACAATACTTTAAGGATAATTCCAGTTTATTACAACTTTTTTATTTCTATCAGCTTGGAAAACATTGTACTCCCTTAAGTAATTCCACTGTTGCAGTAAAGTTCGAGGGGGGCAACAAACACAAGCAGTCAGTTTAAGGCCTTTTTCACCAAAGACATTTTGACATGTTACAGCAGGAAAAGCATAGGTGTAAGTAATAAAATGAATGGCACCCAAATTTTGTTTATCTGCTTCAGTATTTAAAATATTAAAGTATTTAAAAGAAATCCCTGTGAGCAAAAACCTCAGATTTCCTCCTGTTCTGAATGTTCTGTTTTGAACTGATTTTTCTACCAACTGATCTGTTCTACGACACATGGAGCTAGACAGAGCTCGGTCTGCCTGTACCGCCCAGCGACAACAACAGCCTGGTAACATGCTTCGGGTCTTGGCCAATCAGAAGACAGTGCGCTTTGAGAGAGGGGCCCTTAAAAGACAGGAGCATCTACAGCTTATTTCAGACAGAGGCTGAAATGAAGGCCTACATGAAGAGCCAGTATAAGATAGAAAATTATTTTTTTAAAGCTGCCACACAGGAGTCACAGATCTCCAATATAGGACTGGAAATGCAGTATAATATGTCTCCTTTAAGTAGAAATCTATGGATAAAATCTGTGGAAAAGAACAATAGATTACATTATCAAAAGGGAATGTTTAACAGCAGCAGCTGTGGCATAAAAAATCGCTTTGAAAAAGCAGTGTAGCATGTCAGAAAATCAGAATATATATTACAACACTAAACACAAAAAGAATATGAAACAATTTGTCAATTCTTAGCATATCAATGGGTCCCTAACGGAGCACTGATTAAATATTCAATTATGTCTTTCTTTCTGGTTTACTGATGTTATGTTTCAGCTCAGAAAAAAAAACATGAAGGGAAGGGGATTTTTCTAATTTCCTTAACACAAAAACAGTGTGCTGTCCTGTAATGCACCCAATTTTTTAATTCCATTGATATTTCTGACGACCACAAACTTTTCTGACGTTATGTGGATACAATTTTATGACATTCAGGGAACCTCATACAGGATGTCTACCATTTCTTCAGGAGATTAGTGGATAAAGAAGGCATTCTCACTTCCATGGTTAGAAGATCAATTCCCACTGGAACCTTCAATGCCACATTCACAGCCTCGCAGGGGGGCTTTGGAGGGAATTCTCTGTCAAATGGCAACATTAATGTGCACAAACTGGGTACAGGCATGCTTTATATTTGATGTAATCGTTTCAGTGCAGTTTCCATGCAGGCCTATGTGAATAAATGCGTTAAAACAAGAGCCTAAAGGCATAAAAAGGCGCATTGATTATGAGACAGATAGAGGGGTTAGGCATTTGGCCGCTTGCCAAAACAGGGTCTAAACTGTCCCAGTGGTATGGAAAGAACAGGGCCTTTCAGGAGTTCTAGTTACAACATGAGCCGGCATTCCTCACATAGCACACCCACCATGCTATCCTACTCGCTCGCTGTCTCTCTGCGTCTACTAAACTGTCTGCTCCCTTTTCTCCTTTCTGCTTTCTATCCCCACCTCCCTACTCCCCTCTTCATTCTCTGCACAAAAGTAGTAGGGGGCTCCTTCTGACAACAGGATCAATTAAATTACCAGCACGTTGACTCTGCGAGTCTGTGTGTGTGTGCCCTCATCCCTCACGCCGAGGAGCTGGTGCAAACAGATGTGGAGTAAATCTCGAGCATTGTGTTTTCTTGCGGACAGGGAAATTACAGGCTCTGCTCCCTGCTGAAAGCTGATGTCCATGAAAACAAAAATTATTGAATGCTATGAGCCTAAGAGCTGTCAGTGGGGAAGCCTTCTATTGTTTTCTATGGCTGCAACAAAACAAAGCAAAGAAACCATGTGATGCTGTGTGCTGATAACCTCATCAAATGCATAAGCAATGCTCTGAACTACTGTTGTGTTCCCTCTGCACCACAACAGCTGAAGCCTCCTGGACAGAAGAAAGGGATTTTGGTGCTTTGATGTGGAGAACATAGTTCACTTAGGAGCAAAGGAACGCTCAAAAGAGGAGGGAAATAAAGAGAGGAGGAGGAGAAGACGGGGAGAAAGAAAGATGATCCATTCAGGTGAGATGAGGGGAATGTTTTTTCAGTGTGTGTGTCAGGTGAGTAAACAAGAACACATGCAAAGGACTTTTTAAAACACTCGCTGCAAGATTAGACAGCAAGTAGCTCTGAACCACTTTAGCTTAAGAACACAGAGAAGGTTGAAAAATGGAAAATGGAAAAACAGAGAAGGAAATAAAAGACAACAAAAAAGCTGGCTTGTTGGAGTTTGTCTCCGTCAACAAGACTGCAGCTGACCTAGGAATCTGTTGCTTCGGTTTGCACGGCTGCAAAACTCATTTTAAAATGTCTTTGATCATGGTCCACGCATGTAAAAAACCGGAAGGCAAATGCATAAAAATAAGGGAAAACACATCACATTGGCGTCTGTAAAGGCACACTAAGTGATTTTACATGTTGGCAAGAGATAACTGAAATTCAAGGAATTCGAGACTCAGAAGTCTAAAAATTATGGGATCAGACTATACATTATCAGCCCAACAAAGCGGGTCATCTGTAACAGAAATGAGAGTCAGGTGACAATGACTTATTTAATCCCTTGTAGTACACCGCAGAGGAACACAACTGATACAGCTATCTGGGATGGCAAACAACCAAAGCAAAAACACTAGTATAGCAGAGTTTTTTGCCTTCTCCCATCTTCATTAAACCATGACTATACACATAAACATTTCTTGATGGTGCAGTCAGGTGGAATAGTGAAGTTGATCCCTGGCACAGTGCACGTCCATTCCATCACTGATGTACATCACACAAGCCGTGACAGAGAGATAGCTATATTTGATCGGGCTCCAACGTGTAGTCTACCTGCAAGAACTTTTGACTAAACTCACACAGAACTTAACCACAAGTCGCACACATTTGACATAAAACGGCCATGTAAAATCAATACGGCTAACATGTAAGCAAACTTTTGCCTGTTATCGCATCCATCAGATATTAGCTAAGTCCAATATTCACTCTCCTACCTCTGTGAGCCAGACATTTCTGACTCCTTAGCAGCTAAATGCTCCTCTATGTTCACCAACCATTCGCTAACTTTGTCTGTCTGCTGTTTGCTTTTCCTCTGCAAACAGCTGCCTGCTGCAACTGAACACTGGCTGATGAAAGTGGCAAGTTCAGAACCAGAACAGTAAAGTTGCAGGTCATAACACCAAAACAATGACCTTAAAGGCACTAAAACTCTAAATAGACCTGAGGGGAACTGCAGACTTGGGAGATCATTCT